CATTTCAACTTTAATCACTTTAATGACCACAAGTGTGGAAACTCAAGACTATGTCAGATAGTCTCACCATTAGTGATAATTTATTATCATTAATCTTTAAAATAAAGTAAAATGTAGACTTATTTTTGATAAGAAATAGACCAGTTTTCCAGATGGGGACGATAGCTGAACCTTTCCCCTTTTTTCCAAGCTTAGAGCTGCTTGATGAACTAAAAAGCTATACGGAGTAGCGAAGACTGGACTTCAGGTGAATATAAAGAAGACAGATGATGAACGTACCTAACCAACAATAACAACATCAAGCACCAATCACCCCCAGCAGAAATCTAAAACAAATCACCTGTTACACTTATCTAGACAGCTTTGTTTCAATATAAACGACACAGATGAACATATCAAAGCCAGACGAGATTGAAACAGTAAGATGGACCTTGATTAATCTGAAATCAGTACGGAAATCTGCTACACTCAGCATAAGGAACAAAATACGGGTATTGAACACTAATGTCAAATCAATAAGTGCTTATATATGGTTCAAAGACTTTGCGCGTGTCACTAAAAACATTTCCAACAGTCCATTGCAAACTTCCATTAACAAATGACTTCACTATCTGAATATGGAAGATCAGATGAATGAGTCTGTCTGTCTGTCTGTCTGTTTTCGACATAGAACTTTGCACAAATGTGCGGAAGTTCAAGTCGCCACATTCCGTGTAGCACGCGAAGCAAGAGAAGAAAGTACAAGAAAAGCATAATAGAAACAGTGAGCAGAGGTGTGAGACAAAGGAGTAATAAAGAAAAACAAAACAGTTTCATTGGAAATCATAAGTCACAGGGAGTGGATGCATCTGCGCCACTGAGAACGATTTTGAGCCATGTCACCAATTGTTTCCAACCATAGATTTTTACCGTCCCGAGGACCCCAGCCTGGAAGTCTACACCTTCCTACGTGGCTTAGACCAACTGTTGTGGATTTCATTGACTGATGCCAAGTTTTTGTTTGACCGCCGCTAGCTTTTTTCCAGCCTGACCCTATATCCGCTAACATTGCTCGTCGAGGGAGGCGATGGCTTGGCATACGTAACACATGTCCTAACCATCTCAGTCTTTGTAGCTTCACGACTTCGTCGATTGATTTCCCCTGTTTACCTAGAACTCTACGCCTAACCTCCATGTTGCTCACCTTATTATGCCACTTTACACGGGAAATAGAACGCAGGCACCTATGATCAAAGACAGCTAGTCTTTTCATGTCTTCCACTCTCAGTGGCCAGGTCTCACAACCATAAAGGAGGACGGAGCGGACTGATGAGCAGTACACCCGCCCTTTGGTCGATAGTCGAACATCTCGTCTACGCCAGAGTCGGCGTAAACTAACAAATGCGAAACGAGCCCCTTGTATTCGTGCTGAGATTTCGTCAGAGATCAGCCCGTTGGGGCTGATGGTACTTCCCAAATAAGTGAAGCGGTCAACGTGCTCTACCACTTCACTTCCTATTTTTAAACTAGGCGTCGATGTAGTCCAGTCCTGTAACATCATCTTGCATTTGGCGGGAGCGAATCGCATGCCAAACATTCGTAGATTGCGGCTCAAGGTGTTTAGAAGACTCTGCATTTCGTCAGCGTCTTCGCCTAGAAGGACTATATCGTCTGCATATTCCAAGTCAACGAGATTATTCCCGGTAGCAAGTCAATCCCTGAGTCGCTGAAGTCACCTAGGGTTAAGTCCATTAACACATCTATGATGAAGTTGAATAGAAAAGGAGATAATGGGCATCCTTGACGGACACCACTGGTCGTCATCAGTTCAGATGACAGCTCGCCGTAAGCCCTCACCTGGCTGTATGAGTACGAGTAGAGTGCCTTAATCAGTGCAATATATTTTCTTGGAATTCCCTTTACAGCCAAGCATCTCCAGAGAACTTCCCGATCGACAGAGTCGAATGCTGCCTTTAGGTCAAGAAATATAATGACTGTTGGACGCCGGTAGGAATGCCTATGTTCTAGAATCTGTCGGAGGGTGAAGATATGATCAATACACCCTCTTCCTGGTCTAAAGCCTGCCTGGCTCTCTCGTGTTTGTGCTTCCCGAGCACCACTCAGTCTACGCATGATTATTGAGCCTAAGACTTTAGATACTATATTAGTCAAGCTAATCCCTCTGTGATTATCACAGGAAGACTTGTCTCCCTTCTTGTATATGGGGATAATCAGTGACTTACACCAACCCGATGGGACTTCTTCTGATTCCCAGACGCTGCCTAGTACCTCAGTTAATCCGGACAGTAAGCTGTCTCCACCGTACTTAAATACCTCTGGAGTCATTCCATCAGGTCCCGCTGCTTTGCCTAGTTTCAGATTGGTGACAGCTTTAGTAACCTCAGTTAGTGACGGAGGACCTGTGTCTATATCCCATTCAGGGAGGTGTTGGATGCTCGGAAGGTTGAGCGTGGCTGTGGGCAAATTAAACTGCTCCTCATAATGCTCTTTCCAACGATCCAGTCGTCTATCCTGGGAGCTAATTATAGTGCCATTTTTTTCCGAGATTGTCTCACTGATGATTTGTCTTCTCCCACCCGTTTCCCTGATGAGTCCAAAGAGTTGCCTGGTGTTGCCTATCCTCGAAGCTTTCTCCATCTCTTTGGCTTTTGTCGCCCACCACTGTTCACGGTCCTTGCGGAGACTTTTCGTAAGTTTCCTCTTGTGCAGCTTTCGCTCCTCATTGAATTCGGAGCTCGCCGGAATAAGTCTTCTAGCATCTATCAGTTCGGATGAGGCGGTGGAGATCCAGTGGTTTTTACTCACCTTTGGGTTTACCTTATTCACAGCTTTTACAGCTGTATCTATGGCTGCCTGGATATTTTTCCAAGCTTCTTCAGGGTGAGCACAGCTGTCGAACACAGATATGTGTTTAGCTAGTTCTTCCTGAAATACGGATTTAGTTTCCTGATCGAGCTGGGGACGTGATGGTTTTACCGCCAGCTGTTTCCTACGTCCGTTCAGTCGTAAGCACACCCGAGCGCGGACCAGTGCATGGTCGGTATCTACGCACGTGTTCCAGAAGGAGCGACAATCTCCTACCGACCCACGCCAACGATAGCTTATTGCTATGTGGTCTATTTGTGTCCAGCGTTGGTTTGATGAAGGGGGTCTCCAAGTCAAACAGTGTCTCTCCTTGTGTTTAAAGTTAGTGCTTACAAGAAACAAATGATTATCAGAGCAGAACTGTAGGAGACGGTCACCGTTGTCGGTTCGCTGGCACGGAACTCCATAGGTGCCACCGACATCCTTCTCAGATTGACACAATTTCCCTACTTGAGCGTTAAAGTCACCAGCTAGAACGACTATGTCTGAGCGTTTAGCCTTTCCACCAAACTAGACAGCTTTTGGTAGAACTCATCCTTCGTTTCATCTGAACTGCAGTCAGTGGGGGCGTAGGCGGAGATTACGAAAAGGCATCGGCGAGTAGTGCAGTCCTTCCTCCTTCTTACTGATCCGTTCAGGCGGACAGCACACATTCGGCTATCTACCGGGATCCAGTCAAGCAATGTCTTTTCTGCCCTAGTACTCAAAGCTATCCCTACGCCAGCTAATCCTCGTGAACTAGCTGTGGCATCTCCTGACACCCTCAGGGTGAATTTTGCAGATTCAACCTGTTGGCCAGGTGGGGTTAGGTGAATAACCACACTTGGGTCTTGTATGCGTGTTTCTGAAACACAGCATACATCAATGGCTCGTGATGCCAGGGTCTTGGCTAGTGATGCTTGTTGTCCTATTTGGCAAAGTGTCCTAACATTAAGAGCTCCTATATGAAATTGGTGGCGCGGCTTTAAGAGGCTGTCGGTGGTGGTTTTTTGGCTTCCATCGTTTTTAGTGGACGCAGAGTGGAGAGGAAGTGGAGAGCTATCAAGTCGAGGAGTTGCATCAGTGGAAGGAAGGCAAGATGATAGAGATGAAGATGAAGACAAAGATGAGTGAGTAATAGAGAGGTTTCGTGTGCATTTCGGATTGTGAGGGCGATTGTTACTTCCCGGCTGCCCACACCGTGGAAGTTGGTTGCGTGACCGCAGAGCCCAGGGGACAACTGCTTGAGGCCGGTCACACGCGGCCTGTTTTTGTTCGTTCTTTTTTGTTTGGTGTGTCTCAGTAGCAGATTTATCACTCCTGCCCTGTGACACGGCAGCAGGAAGCGCGGTCGTTGTTAATCCGGGCCACGGCCGATCCGGCATGAAATTTTGTAATTTTGTATTGGACATGATGTTGGATTGGGTAGCTGCTTTTTGTTTAACCGCTATCCAAACAACCTGCCTGGCATGGTAGTACCTCAAGAGACATAAGTCTCAGCCAGTATAGCTTGAATAGATCATTGCGGTGTTCAAGCCCGACCACCACGTCAAGGTAGCAGCTTTCGGTGAATGAGTAAAAAAGGATAAGCAGCTCATAACTCCGGCAAAAAGCGAGTCAACCAAGAACCTTTCACCCAACAAATATATGCAGATACAAAATGGAAATTGATTGACAACACATTGAGTGACAACACACACACACACCTGAGCACAGGCTCTTGAGTGGAACTCAAATGGGGAACAACAAATTGGGCGTTAGTTCGAGGTTGACATGGAGGAAGATTGTGTCAAGAGGAAAGGAAAGTTAATAGGCAACCGTGGACACAGACTACACAGAACACAGTAAAATCAGGGTGTACTGTTAAATATTTTGATTTGACCCTAGTAACTAGTGTGATGTGTCCAGTCCTTTCTTCGCTGCAGACTGAGTTCTATCAATCAGGTTTGTAATGTGGCCACCACCCTAGGTAGCTCGCCATCACGGTGCACATTGATTTGATGATATTAGATGGTTGGAGGCAGTCGGCCACAGGAAGCCTTGGACTTAGGTTTCGTGCTATTTGACACTCACCAGTCAGCAAGGTGTATCTGCAACCTAGAAGGAACTCATGTCCCTCCCTTTTGAGATTCGAACCCGCGTTGTCACCTATTGCTGCAGTCAGAGACGTTACCACTGAGATATTCGGTGTATTGTTAAAGCCTCATATTCCACTGAGAACCGAAGGGAAAAGAAAATAATGCATTTAATTCATATATGATATGTATTGTATTGTAGTGTAAATACATATATAAATGTTGACTAGTATTTATAGTGTATATGTACATATAAAAACACAGACAGACACACACAAACATTTTAAGAAAAAAGAATTCTCAGTAAACAGAATGCAAAACTAAAATAGATAACATACAATTCAATGCACACACTAGACACTACTTAGAAGAAAACATTCATGAAACTAAGTAAATTAAAAAGGAAAATGAGAAAGTAGACGAATAAAAGAAAGAAAGCAAACAAGGCAAGTAAATTTACAAAAAATCCCATTGTAACATTTGTGATGTTGAATTAGTGATTAAATGAAATACTAATGTAAATATTAATACATTTCGGATAAGTTTTAATGGTGAATTTGGTATGACATAATTTTGTAATCGACGTGTTAATGTATGCACTTCATGACAAATACATATAAAAATAAATGATGTGACAGATAAATTAATTAATGGAAAACCTGGTAGGAGAACAAGTATTCCATAGGCATCAGCTGATAACCATATATGATATTGAGCAATGAATAACTAAAAATTTAAACAAAAAAAAGGCATTAACACACAGTGAAAAATAAAATTGGTTGTAGAAAAGTTTGAACTTAAAATCATTTTTACTGTTACATAAACAATACTGGACGGGCTCCCAGACTTTTTTCCATCCATTAGAATGCATCATATTTACTTCATTACATATTGCTTTAACCATCGCACTATTTTTGTAGATTTTATCATTATTATTCCCTTAGGTTTCGAGTGAAACATACGGCTGACTTCAACAGAACATCTCCACTTTGTCCTGTCTCCTGCCGTCCTCTTCAGCCAGAACCACAATCGCTCATCTCCTCTTCCCACGATCTCCTACATGTCACCTTCCCGCCGACAACCCACTCATCGCTTCCCATTCGGATTTCACTCAAGCGATGGCCGGAACTGCGCACGATGTCATTCGACAGTTTCCTCAGTGTATGCCCTATCCATCTCCATTTTCTCCTGTCTGTCTGTCTGGATTCAACTTAGAACTTGGCACCCAAGTGCACCAGTTCCAGTTGCCACGTTCCAAATAGCACACAGAGGTAAACAAGTAGATGAGTGAAGAGAATCAATACAGTCTGACAAGTATAAGAGTGAAACAGAATGGGTAATGGTAGAAAGAAATATGAAAGATTACAGAGACTGAATACATCTGCGCTGGCCATTGACAACGATTTTGAGCCATGTCACCTATTGTCTCCAGCCATTGATTCCTAGAGTCAGTCCTGAGGCCCCCAATCCGGAAGTCTGCATCTCCCTACCTGACCGACTCAGTTTAACTGTCAAGGATTTCATGGATTGATGAGGCCATGTTTTTGTTTGGCCACCACTGGCTCTTTTCCAACCTGAACCTATATCAGCTAGTAATGCCCGTCGGCGGGGGGAGGCGATGGTTAGGCATGCGTACCACCTGACCTAGCCATCTCAATCTACGTAACTTAATAGCCTCGTCGATGGATTTTCCCTCTTTGCCCAACACTCTACGCCTAACGTCAACATTACTTACCTTGTTAAACCACCTAACGTGAGACAGGGATCGCAGACATCTATGATCGAAAGCAGTCAACCTTTTCATGTCTTCAACTCGTATTGGCCATGTTTAAGAGCCATAGAGAAGGACGGAGCGAACTGCTGAGCAGTACACGCGTCCCTTGGTTGATAACCGGATGTCACGCCTACGCCAGAGGTGGTGTAAGTCAGCGAAAGCAGCTCGAGCTTTTCGGATCCGTGCTGAGATTTCGTCGCCAATCAGTCCGTTGGTGCTAATACAACTTCCCAAATAGGTGAAGTGGTCAACATGTTCTATCACTTCACTCCCTATCACTAAGTTTTCTTCTACGTATTTGTTGGGTAGTCGGCTCCTGGTTGGTTTGTTACTAACCAGAGTTTCTTGTTGCTAATGCTTTCTGGCCTATCATTTGATTTTCAGTATGAAGTCAGCGAAGGAAGCTGTTGATGAAAGTCTGCAGTTGCCTGTTGGAAATCTGTTTCGTGACACTCTGGCCAATTTTCTGATCCGTAATCCGTACAGAAGGATTTGCGGATTGCAACCTATGCTAATGCACATTTTCAAAAAGCTTTCCAACCAACGGTTACGAATTTTATAATGGACAGGGTAGAAGAACTTCACAGATTAATGGAACAATACCGCTTCAAGGGATACATTATCGGTTATTATACTACTCGAAGACCTTGCATAAGTAGTAAATAGTATAACATAAAGCAAGTTAAAAATTCTGTGCTGTGTTTGAAATGAATAAAGTAGTTATTATTATTAATATTATAGGAATATACAGCTGATCATCACTTGAATACTATTCTAACACTTAGAAAGATACAGAAGACTGTTTGAGAAGGTGATGGTTTGATGTTTCAGGAAAAACGCCGTATGAGCTAGAAATGACAACTAGTCATACACTTATTTAATATTTATTTACCAATAAATCATTAGTTTAAGATATGAAAAGCTGTGTTTTCACTGATTAAAATAGTTATAGTTAGAGCGAACAACTGTTTTCAGTAATTTCTTCACCCTCGCGTGGGTGCGTATTGCCGAAGAGTGACAAACTAGAGCGAAACAACTGTCCAGTACTCTTAAGTTTTCCATTGGTTCTCTAACCGATGTCAGCTCATGATTAAATCTTGTCACCAGTCAAATCCCTGCAAAACAACCCCTGAATTGTAAATCCATTAGTTTCTTTAGCATACATTAGCCAGTAAAGGCAAATCAGAATTATATCAGAAGATGTATTGTGAGACGAGTATAAGATGGGATGGAATAATAGTCAATTAGTTTCTATTACCGTTTAGGATATATATATATATAGTGCAAAAGTACAGGTTTCACTAAGTGGTGTGTCAGACAATATGAATACTACAGAAAAATAAACCAACAGATGGGATAGACTAGACGTAAGTTCAAGGATGGCAAAATAACAATAATAGTGATGGTGTGGTATTAATCTAAAAGTGCTTTTAGTGAACGATTATCAAGTAATAAAGAATTTAATGAAATGGAACGAACAGGATTGTGTAAATATAATAAAACAGTTAGAAAAGCATTACTTAAAGTTAAAGTAATAGAAATAATAAGAAAGGTCATGAAGTCGTAAGAGGTCTGAAATGAACATTTGTCAATGAAACAAAGGGAAAGAAAACAATGCGATAGCAATTTAAAGTACCAATGTTTATGGAGTATTTGTTGACCTTATTGTAGGCCAAGGTAAACATAGCGGTTGCACATACTTCTTTCATAAACAAAGGCAAGGTCTTCTGGTATTGATTACTACCGCTTCAGCTACTGATAGATTACGTAGTCGAGCTCCTCTAGATAGATTACCAGGAGTGTGGTATATGACTGAGAACACCTGCTCTGGACTTATTGAGTATCCAGTGTCTACTATGTGGATTGTAATATTTACACATTTGGTCACCCCTTTGCTCAATTATACGGTAATATGATGACGTGTGCGCATGAATAAGGCCTTCTGGGTACGGTCAATGTAACTAACTCCACATGAGCAGTTGAATTCATAGATGCACATTGATGAGGAAACCTTTGGTAATTTATCCTTGACTCGTTGTGTGAGTGCTGGTTTAGTTAAGAAACTGCAGGAAATGCTCTCTCTACTGCCCGTTGAGTCAACATTTTAGAATGTCAGCTGTACTAATGAAAATCCAATGGCGTGACCTTTAACCTACGTAAGGGTCATCTGTCTAGTTTATAGATTACACGGTAAACATTGAACCATAATATGTCTCTTTCTGTCATAACATCATATTGGAAAAGAATCAGGTGTGGTCAAATGACAATACTGAATTAATCTATGAAGTTCATTAACTGTAACTTTGATCCATCTAGGAAGGTGTCGACTGTTTAACTATGGTCCACAAGACTCTAAAACTTAATGACTGAAAACTTTTGTTGACATGGCTAAAAATAATTCCCAATGGTAGAAATGCATTCAATTCATCAAATCCTCATTATTCTCCATGTGTACTTACTTATTCTTTCCCCTCTGCGTTAAAGTTCCCTTGAATTCTCTTCTCCATCCCTAAAATACTTCTTGGAGTATGGCAACTCGAACTGCAGCCCTTCTATGCATACACGGGAATTTAAGCGATACACTTTGATATTATTTTTACTATAAATTAATGAGGGTTAGTTGTGATATGAAGTCATTGAAAGTGGAATGAACGATTTTGGATATTGACTACTACTGCGGTAGAATATTCTGTGTTCCAAGTTTAGAATATTCTTATATGGATAGGATAATTCTATTGAACAATTTTGGCTTTTATTCAAAGAAATCGTAATAACTTGCTTCATCATTAAACTAGAATGACTTTCTTGGATTGTCCTTTCGCTAACCGTGCCAGATAATGTACAGAGATGAGTTTGGAAAGTGTGCACTTTGTGCGGCCAATATAACTAGCTCCACACGAGCAGGTGGATTTATAAAACACTCATTGAAAAGTGACCCAAAGCAGCAGTTTATCCTTCACATATCCATTGATCACTTGTCGGCTGTAGAAATTGATCTGTAGCTCAGCCTCAGATAAGGCTTTTCTCAGCGATCTGCATGAACAGTTCTTCAGGACCTCAGTTGAGGTGTCACCTCTAAATTCAACGTTCATAAATACCAGTTTCTTCTGCACCGTCTGGGTTCTTTCAGGCTTTTGCTTTAACTTCATGTCTTTCTCGCTGAATCTTGGAGGATATCCATTTTCCATGAGGACTTGTCTGAGTCGGTATTGCAGCTGAGATCCTGAAGAACCGCTTATGTAGATCGCTGAGAAAAGCCTTATCTGAGGCTGAGCTACAGATCAATTTTTACAGCCGACAAGTGATCAATGGATATGTGAAGGATAAACTGCTGCTTTGGGCCACTTTTCAATGTGTGTTTTATAAATCCACCTGCTCGTGTGGAGCTAGTTATATTGGCCGCACAAAGTGCACACTTTCCAAACTCATCTCTGAACATTATCCGGTATGGTTAGTGTAACTTTATTTATTTACAAAGTGTATATGTATATATCATCTTATATTTTTGTCTGAAGAAGCTATCTATTCAGTAACAGGCTAGTCTTTGTCCTCCAATAATTTCATTTCTTAATGATCCAGATAGTAATTGAGTTGGGGGTAGGATAGTAGCCTCAAGTTGACGTCGTTCTCCCTACACCTTACTCCACCCAATAACACTAAGGTCATAATCAACAAGTACGTGCTAAGACTTTGACGAACCTATATTAACATTTTAACTGTTAAACTAAACCATATAGTGACTTAACTTTTAGTATAAACCAAGAGGCTTTTTTTAAAGCTTCCGTTTATTACTGGCATTAAAGATTACTCGTTTCACAAGTTCAGCTGATTGAAACTCTATATATCTTGAAAGAATTTACGCAGCTTTATGATAATAAACAGTCGTAAAGATTTATGAAATAATAATTCTCCTTCCATCAACACCACCGCCTTTATTTCAACTTGAAACTCACTATAATATATTTCATCTTTTATTCCAATACTCTTAAAAATTCGAGAGATTTTATTTTTTTATGGTTATCATAAAATTTTATTGAAGATTTAAGACAGAATCATCAAAACAAACGTTTTAACTGTCAATAAGATATCAAAGTAAAGTTATTGCTTTTTGGAGAAGAAACAATTTTATTGAGCTGCCTTCGTTGCTAGCATCCATGTATGTCTGAAGAAAGATCTCAATTTTAGCACCTTCCCTCTTCATGTATTGGTTGACATTAGAGTTTAGTATAGAAGTGTTATTCCTGTTGATGGTAAACTTTTTTCTCACCTCATAAACATCAGACTTAAAAAGTTAACCTTCATTCGCCATCAAACATTTTATACTATTGTTTCCCCTGCCAATGCGGATTAATTTTTAGTTGTTTCTTAATATTGATACGATATGCTCTGTCTGAAATGCATAAACACCCAGATAACTCTCACAAGGTATCTCACCCGAACCATATACACGACTTCTCACTAGTATACTCCAGGTAATTTCCTGCATGCAGCCAGCCGGCATCAAGAATGGGTTTGCAGGGATTCGATTGGTTACAGGTTCGACTACGAGCTGACATAAGGTAACAGAGCCATTGGGACTACAGGGATTACTGATCAGCTGTTTCATCCTAGTTTGAGACTCTCCAACAGTAGGCACCTATCAGAGTCCGAATCCAGTTACAAAGCAAGCTCACAGACCATTCATTCAGCCACTGACAATCGATCTAATGGTCAATGAATTTCACTTTCTGCCAATTTGTATTAAAAATATAACACAACCACCAGCTAATTTCACTGGCGAGTAATTGTTTTCTAACTTCTTAGGATGTGTCTTATCTTTTATGAAATGCTATGAGAAATGATTGTTGAATTAATCTCAACTGACCAGTGATAACTTTTCTTTGTGTTCAACTTTATACTACTTGATACTGATAAGTAGTATGAATTTCCATACAGCCCCACTACTCAATAATCTCAATGGTATAGTTCAAAAGAATGGAAATATTCTAAGCACATAACACCTTCAGTGCTGTGGAATGAAATATAGTCACACTGGAGAGTCAATAATCTCTGAACAGAATGGAAGAGAGTGAATGAGAGAGAGAGAGTATACAACGAATCAATCATACAAAATGTCATCTAATTTGATTCAGAATCGAAATCAATGATGAATATGATACAATTCCCCGAATTACGTGTATTTCTAAACGTCATGTGTAAAGCAATGAATACTCTTCTAAACTACCAGACTAATAAAAATACAATCAGTAAAACATAGTTGATAAAAAAGGATTGTGAAAAAAGTAAGCAAAAAAAAAAAACAAAAACAAAAGTTAATGCTCACTTCTAATGACATATCACCAATCCAAGCAAAAAATATGCTGTACGTTCTACGAAATGAACTGAAACTATTTCTCACAAGAATATAGGATATAATCTGAAAAATAATAAATATGAATACTAGTACAATTAACCATAAAAGGTATATAATTTGTTTTAGTTGTTCAATATATATATATATACAAACACTAAAGAGGAGTCTCTTTTATGCAAATGACATGATTCGAATGAATAAAATATAAGACGTCGTCCTGGTAAACGTAATACATGTGGTTCCTATTTTTGTACATAAAAAACCATATTACGGTCAACAGGAATAAGTTGAACTGAGTTAATGTATAGAAAATCTATTGAATGGGAATATGACCTCCTCACCTAAATACTCTACGCCCAACTTCATTATTACTTCCCATATTATACCCGTTAACACGGGAAATAGAGCGCGAACACACATACGGACAAAGATAACTGATTTCACTTTTATTTTAAATTGCCATGTCTCACAGTAGTACATATGTGTCCTTAGAACGATAGCAGGATATCACTTCTGTGACAGAGATACTGTAAATTGGCGAATATCATACAAACCTTTTGTATATGTGTTGAAATTTCATCCATTAAGATTGGTGTAACTTTCAGAATGAATGAAATAGTCAACACGCTGAATCGCTTCACTTCTTATGTTGATGCAGACAGTACCGCAACATCTTACATTTGATGATAAGGACAGATCGCGTGCCAAACATACCAAGATTTCTTTCTGCTGAAGATGTTTATACCTCCATGCCTAACTTAAACCGACAGTTAAGGGCTTTATAGACTGACTTAATGTTTTGGTTTGATAATCCTGAACAGTTTTCCAACCTTATCCTAAGTCAATTAATATTAACTCGATGTGGAGAGGTAAATGAATTGAAACAACACAGACTTTGTTATTACATCAGTCAGAAAAGGCTATAAATGAAGCTGACAACACAAACATGAATCTTAAATTTCATGTTGAGAACACACAGTTCATAAAATTTCGGGCGATATGAGTGTGTATAGAATGTAAAACTCCAGACTTGATATAAATCAAGTAGTTGAGAGGAAATTTACAAAGTCATAAAACTAACTAGTGTACAATAACGACGAACACTCTCCACTTAGTCTACAGATGTAAGACAACTGATTGATCAGTATCCCAACATTAGACTTATCATAAAAAAGTAGTGTACGGCTGTCTCCAGTACAACCAGTACAGTATGAGTTAATCAATAACTCATAATTGTATAAATTGAAACAATAAATGATTTAAACAACCAAACTAATTGTTTAAAATACAGTTCAATGTCCAAATATTCTGAATTCAAAGTCTAGGTTGAATAACTATTGATATTCAAACAATATTTCCTGAAACAATTTAAGCGCCCAGTTCGATTAAATTCATTATAAAGCATATTTCAAATAAACCCAGTGTGTTTAGAAAATCAAAACCGGAATACCATCCGAGTAATTCGACTGAAGAAACTGTGGCTTACACATGGAAACTTTCACAAAAACCTTGTTTTAATTTTTCTAAAAGCACGCTGAGATGACTTCAAATAATTTTACAAAATAGTTGAAAAACTTTAAACTAATAAATCAGTAAGGCAAACAACTATTAGGCTGAATGAGAAAATGCAGACTGACAGCATTTAAAATGTTCAAATATCGCGGTTTATGGAGATTCTGCGCATTACAGGTTGGATTCTATTGAAGAAACTTTGTCCTTCCCTGAGATTTCAAGTCAACGGAACCTTCCATGCAAACATGAATCTGACGCAGAAAGTACATATTACGACACTGAAATTCGATACCTCATGAATCATAAATTTATATCAGTTCGTGATTTAGAGCCGTTGTTGATCAATAGAGTTGATTAATGCTTTTCTTAGTGCTCTGAATGATATCAAATCGAGAGCGAAATTCACTTTGAAATCTAAGATTTGAACAGGATTATCTCATTCAATTTAAATAGTCTAACAATATGCTGGATACTGTTAACGCTACATAAAACATAATGAGTGACAGTATTCTGAATGATACTTGAGTTCAGCATATATCGTTTAAAAAAAACATTAAAGCCTTGTAAAATTCTCTTATAATTCATTCTTATTTTCTTATTTGCTTACATCTTTCATCTTCAGTAACTCACATCATTGGTACAGGCATCATTATCTTTACATGAAACGATAAAACTATATTGGTGAAGATAAAGTGTAAAATTTCCAAAGGAAAGTGTCATTCCCCAATGGTTCTTCCGATACGTTAATATATCAGTATTATTTAAAGTCACATAAATGCCATGACTAGATAAAGAAAACAATTATTATGCCGTGTTACATACTACTTTATAAATAGATAAGTAGTCTGTAGAGTAACATCTCTAAAGAAGAAATAGTAGTGGGGTTATGCATGAGTGACGATGAAATGCAAAATGACAGCACTCTGTGAGGAAGAACCTCACAAGCAACAAACAACGAAAAACACATTATGCCTCTAATAAGGAATGGTTGCCTCTGTGGCTTAATACTCGCTGAATACGCAGGCGGTGCGGAGTTCGATTCCCAGCCGACGTACCCCTAAACCTCGTCTTGAAAATGAGGGAAGGTTGGGGGGTGTGGAATTAAAAAGCCTCATGTTCCACTCGGAACGAAGGGAATGAAAAAAAGCACAGAGGGAATGATATTATTCAGAGATTGTGAGATCAGTGTATCATTTCTCACTTTGAAATCATGTTTATTGTGTTTTGTCCACCCTAACAAGTTCTTTCCTCTTCAATACTATATTAAAGCAAAATTTCGAATTTTTTTTGATGATATTGATACCATTAGGTAGGTATTTTAATACCGTACTCTCTTTGTAATGACTTCATATTCAAATCATATATATTTATATATATATTAGTAATTCTCCTGGCAGACGATGACAGTTAGTAATGAGAAAATCAAGTAACTAGCACAAATTAAACTTCAAATTTGATAAAATAGCTAAACTTACAGGAATAAGGCAAACATAAGCATGAATGTGTAAGCATGTTTCACGATTTGAACAAGCAAATACATAGATTAAAGCAAACTGAAAAGAGATAGAAAAAAGAACAGTAAAGACTTAAACAATTATAAAGAACGATTAGCGATGATGATGATGATGACATAACAGAAATATGTAATCCAATGTGATTCATAGACTTATATACTTAGTGATCATCTAAGCAATAAATCTGCCAATGGAACACAGAGAGTTGTACCTTCCACTGATTGACAGACGTGCTATATAGCCTAGATGTCTTGGCTTCTGACCCCTGATGATTTCTTAGGTGTTTAGTGCTGAAGAGTCCCGAAGTAGGACAAAACAGCTGTCCAGTGTTCCTTGGTTATTTAGTGATAATTCAACTCATATCATTTCGTGATGAAATCTACAGTGAAATTAGTTATTCAGAAAAGTGCAGGGATCGTCCAAAAGTTGAGAGAACTTGTCTGTGATTGACTCAGCAATCGAATAGGTATTCAAAGCATTTAACGATAAACCATGGCTTAGCTATGAGTGTTGATAATGCTACTTTTGTTGTGTAAGTCTCAGAAAGTGGTGAGGAAATAGAATACAATTCTTCCCATTAATAAATTTGAATAAAACAAGAACGACAAATGTACCAGTATAATCTGAGCCCATGCTTTTATTCTTTCGTGGAATCTTCTCAATTGGTTAGAATTCCATTGGTTTATATTTATCTTCAAATGTAGATTGCCATTAATTTTTATTCATCCCACTGTTAATAATTTTGAGCTATGCTAACTAGTTTCCGATTATTGATTTTAGCATCATGAGAACTCCAGTCGGGTAAACAAAATCCTCCAACACAGGTCAGATGAACAGATGATAACTTCATGAAGTGATCCCACTTTTTTGCCTGACCACCATCCTATACTATTTCCCAATATCATTGACTCGTCTTCACAACCTCATCAGTTGATCTCTGCTCCTAACCTAACTGTAAATAGAATTAGGTTGGAAAAGAGTTCAGGGGGGGGCGCAAGGTCAAACAATAAAACGTGACATCAGTCTGTGGCAGTTGGTTTGATCCACACAAGGAGGTGGAGACTGCTTGGTTAGGGTACTTGGGATGGTGGAGACCACCTATGTGTGCTATATGCAGTGCGGCAACATGAACTGTTGTGCCTCTTTGAGAATTCCTCGGCTGAATTTTGGTTACTCATTAAGTAACTTAGCTCCCAACACACCAAAGATCAGTATCATTTTCGTATTTCAACTATCACGAGACAGAGTAATAAGAAATTTGAGAATTAAAGTTATTTTTGACAGTTGTAGAAGAGAAGGGAGTAAATGGTTGCACATTACACACGTTCTCTAATAGATAAGTGAGTGTCACGTTTGTACCAAAAAGCAACACAAGTCACTGATTACCAAACAAGACTTTTGTGTATTCCAACCTAGAATAACGCCAACCATCACTCCATTAAGACTGATACAGCTTCTACTGTCCTTTACACAAATGAAGTGGTCAATACATTAAATCCTTTCCCTATTATCAACAGCTGTCTTCACTGACTCCATACTGAAGACCAGATAGTCTGTTGAAAAGGGTTTGCAACAAAGGACTTTGGCAGGAAACGAATCAACCAAGAACCATTCGCCCAACAGATATGCTGAGGAAAATAGAGGTGAATCAGACAAACACTAAGGAGACCACTGAGTGACATCAGACGCTAGGCCTCCGAGCGGAATGTTAGTGGGCAACGACGGTTTGTTCAATGGTCGAAAGGTGACGTGAGGAGGAGATATCCCTATGTCCCACTCGGGACCTAAGAGGATAAAAATAATACTATTATTTATCCTTAAACTAGAAGTTGATAAAGCTTTGGAAGTAAAAACGTTTCTTAGCTGAAGTACACATGTTTTCTCCCTCCAAAGTTTTCACCAGGAAGGTATCATCATTACCAACATCATCAACAAAGGCAACAAAGTAACAAACTAAGTATTAAAAAAAAAATACAAAACTTACCAATAAGCCAAAAATACCGAGTATAGTTAAACCCAATGATGAGAAGCATTTGCATAGAAATTCACATAATGAACAAGAATTCTTCATCTGATATTTGCCATTATTATTATTGTTATTATTAACAGTGATAGTCGCAGCAGTAGTAGAGGTGACAGATGAATTGTTGAAATCCACTTGTCTTGTATTTCTGCTTTCTCTACTGCCTTTCTCCCCTTCTTCCGTTTGTCTTCGTTGTTGAGATTGTTGCTGTGATTGTTCTTGTTTTATATGATTTGTATATTGACTGTTGAATAGTGAATTTGATCTTGTACAATAACTACTTTTATTATAATTATCAGTAGTAGTAGTAGGAGGAGGAGTAGTGTTATAATAGATTGAATTATTTCCAGTCTCCCATTTTTGTACATAACCTCTTTCAGTATTATTAGTGTTACTATGCATACTACTATTATTATTATTATTATCATTGCTACCAATGCTACTCCTACTACTATTACTGCTGCAACTATTCCGATGTAATGGTAAGATTATAGATGAATTCGCATAGTCCTCTTCACCATCTTTTAATACACCAATTTGTCGTAATGATTCACATACAAAGGCAAATATCATACCATAAATAGCTGAATAACGATCCATTGACCAACGATAAAACCATGTTTGTTGATTGTCGACAATTTCTTCATGTTGTACAGCATTCTGTGTATTTGTTGTTTGTTCATGATTATACTGGAATAAATATTTTTGTGGTCTGTATGTAAAAACAAACAAACAAACAAACATATTCATAAAATAATTCAAATGAAAATAAGGTACTTCATTCAATAGAAATTCTAACATAGAAACACTGAATTAATCCCATGATAATTGATATTACAAAATCATATGATGTAAAGAAACTTACTTGATAGAGTTCACCTAGTTATTCGATAGTAGTATAAACGCTGACAAGGGTCATATGACAATAGCACGCGTCAGATGGGGTGGTGATCCACAACGGAAAACTCAGAGAAGCTTTTGATGTGAATACAGGAGTAAAATAAGACTACCTATTATCAACAATAATATTCTTAATTGTGGTGAACCGTACATGGGGAGCGACAAGACACAACTACGCTAGACCACTGATAAGACTCTAGAAGATTTGGATCTTGAGGATGATTTATGTCTAATGCTATACAAACTGGAAAATCTACAAGCAAAAACAAACTGACAGAAGAAGCAGCAAAGACAGGAATACAAGTGAACTGACTAAAATAGTGACTGGTTTCAACGTAGAACTTTGCACAAATGTGCACAAGTTCAACTTGCCACACTCCCTTCTTGTAGCACACAAAGTAAGAGAACAGAGTAAAGAGAGGTTCAAAACAGAGATGTGAGACAAAAAGAATGGTAATATCGAAGAACAATATAGTTTTACTTGATATTATAAATCACAAGGAGTGGATGCATCTGCGCCATTGGAAACCATTTTCAGCCATATCACCAATCGTCTCCAGCATTCATTGGTTTTTACCATCTCGAGGATCCCAACCAGTCAGGAAGTCTACACCTCCCGATGTGGCTGGCTGAATTAAACTAACTGTTGTGGATTTCATTAACTGATGAAGCCATGCTTTGGTTTGATCACCACTAGCCAACACTTTTCTAACCTGATCTATCCTATGTCAGTCAGCTAACATCGCCTGTCGAGGAAGAAGATGGATGTCTAGGCATGCATGCGTAACAAATGTCCTAGCCATCTCTCTCAATCGATGTAACTTCACAACCTGCTTGAGTAATTTTTCCTTCTTACCAACCGTTCGAATAAGACCTAGCCTCAACATTGCTCACTCTATCATACCACTTAACACGGGCGATAGAACACACGTACCTATGATCAAAGACAGCTAGCCAGCCTTTTCATGTCTTTCACTTTCAATGGTCATGTCTCACAGCCAGCCATAAAGGAGGGCGGAATGAACTGCTGAGTAGTACACACATCCTTTGGCAGATAACCAGCAGGATATCGGATCTACTCCAGAGATGGCGTGAGTTTGCGTGTACCAAACAAGCCTTCTCTATTTGTGCTAAGGTTTCTTCAGCGATCAACCCGTTGAGGCTGATAAAACTCCACCAAATAAGTGAAGCGATGGTCACCACGCTCTACCACTTCACTTCCTGTTTCTAAGCTGAGAATCAATGTAATCCAGTTTCTGTGATTATCACAGGAAGATTTATCTCCCTTCCTGTATATCGGGGTAATCAGTAACTTACGCCAACCCGACGGACTTCCTCTGATTCCCAGTAACTGCCCAATACCTTACTTAACGCAGAAAGTAAACTGTCTCCACTGTCCTTAAATACCTCTGAAGTCGTTCCATCATGTCCTGCTGCTTTGCCTCATTTCATTGATATAAGTATAAAACTTGCCTCGTTTCAGACTAGTGAATGCCTTAGTAAACCCAGTTAGGGATGGAGGACCTGTGTCTATATCCCATGCAGGAAGGTGTTGGATGTTCGATAAGTTGAGCGTGACTGCAGACCAACTGAATTGCTCCTCAAAGTGTTCTTTCCAGTGTTCCAGTCGTCTAGTCTGGGAGCTAATTATGGTGCCATTTTTCTCAGAGATTGTTTTATTTATCACTTGCCTTTTACCCCCTGTTTCCCTGATAAGCCTAAATAGTTGTCTGGTGTTAACCATCGCAGATGTCTTTCCCATCTCTTTCGCTCTAGTCGCCCACCACTGTTCACGGTCGTTGCGAAGACTTCTTGTTGGTTTTCGTTTGAGTAGCTTTCGCTCCTCATCATAATCGGAGCTCGCCTGAATCAGTCTTGCGTCAGTCACTTCGGATGAGGCGGTATAGATCCAATGGCTCTGACTAAATTTTGGTTTTAGCTTATTAACATCTTTTACAGCTGTGTCTACAGCTAACTGTATGTTGTGCCAGGTTACCTCAGGGGAAGTCCTGCTGTCGACCTCAGACACTCGTTTCGCTATTTCTTCCTTAAATAGGGACTCAGTGTCTCGATCTAGTTGGGGACGTAACTGTTTCACTGTCGTCAATTTCTTATGTTCGTTTAGTCGTTAGCATAAACGTGCGCGAACCAGAGCGTGATCACAGTCTATGCACGTGTTCCAGAAGGAACAACAGTCTTCTACTGACCCTCACGAACGATACCCTATCGCTATGTGGTCAATCTGAGTCCAGCGTTGATTTAGTGATGGAGGTTACCAGGTTACGCAATGTCTCTCTTTGTGCCTAAAGTTAGTGCTGACTAGGAACAGATGATTATCTGAACAAAAGTGTAAAAGATGATCACCGTTGTCCGTACGGCATTTACATAAATTTCTTGCAATAAAGTTGTATGAGTACGTTGATATGATTATGAGCAATCATTTGTGCACGAAACGGTCATCAGTAAATATTAGTGTATAACACTGTGAGACTTTATCAAAATAAAATTTTATCCATAATCGAGTTATATTAGAGTTAGGTCTGAATAAGATCCAATTGAAAAATACAATATTGTTCGCTAACATGTGTTGCTCTTCTAAATATTATTGATGAATTAAAAACTTACCCAGAAAAGAATAACCAATTGAAGCATTCTCTTGAACGATATAATACTTCAATAAAGCATAATAATATGATAAATTTTATAATCATTATTAAATATACCAAGCGTATACGACTACAATGAATGCATAATTTTGAATGCAAATAATATAATATCCAACTTTTAGATGATTCAATTGGTTGACGCAGTTTTTGATTCATTAACATAATATGCTTTTTATGCATATGTTTAGTTTGTTTCTTCAGTGGGATAACAATACACTGAAATTTACGCATTAAATCTTCTGTTAACGGTGGACCATGACGACCACGTGATTTCACCATAGATCGATGCAGTCTATGCCCAACAGATCGTTTACTAATTTCATCATTATGAGATAATAAGCCAATACGATCTGATGTTGGCATATTATTATTATTATTATACGGATCATGATAGTTATCAGAAGACGCTGATGTTGCTCCTGTATAGGCATTCGCATTGACAACATTTGTATAATTTTGGCATAAATCAAAACCTGTACCAAGTGATAAAGCTTTTTGATGACCTTTATAATTAATAGATGAACGAAGTGTAGTTGTTGAAGGAGAAGAGTAAGGAAGACAGTGGATTTTATTCTTTGCCACAGTACTTCTTAAATTCTGTGGTGGTGTGGAGGATGTTGAAGAGACAGAGGACGAGGGGGAGGAGGAAGAGGTGGATGGAGGAGGCACCAATGCTGGTTTTAATAACAATAAAGATGATTTTTCTGATGACTTGGAGAAATACACCTCATCATCTGATTCGGTGAATTGATTAGGCAGATACTGATTATGATTGACTGGAGGCAAGTACTGATGAAAGGAGGAATAATAATGATTATCATTAGTATGGTTATTGCTGTTGTTGTAGTAATAGTAATTTCTGTTATTATCAATGTTGGTCAAAGCATCATCACACTTGTTATTCATGTAATTGTCTGCAGTAGTTATTGTAGACGAAACGGATGTCAGTGTTATTGTCGTCGAATTAGTATTCATAGTATCTGAACGATTAGAATTATTGTCAATATTATTATTATTATTGCTGTTGTTATTGTTGTTAATATTATTGGTAATGTCATTATTAGGAGTACTGCTATCAGCTTCATGCATTTTATAATTACCAGAGATTTGTTGACCAGATACACGTGGAAATATAACGCATACAATGAGTACAACAGTGAACCAAAATGATACTAATGGAATGAAATAATAGGCTAGATAACCACGATTCATAATTAAGCATAAGCCAAAGACAAAAAAATTAAAACGATAAATTACCTAAAATATAGAGAAACAAACAAACAAATTATGAATTAAGAAAATAGATGTTTAAATAAAAAAACTTAGTTTGTATATAAATAATAAGGGATGACAGGAAAAGGTTAAACAGTTCAAGTGTTGGTTTATAGGGATTTGATTGGTTACAGGATTTCATCATGAGCTGACATTGGTTAGAGAACCATTGGGAAACCTGGGAGTATTCGACAGCCGTTTCGTTCTAGTTTGGGACTCTTCATCAGTACAAACCCACCGGGTTTCGAACCCAGGACCTTCTGGTTACAATAGTTATAAGAGCTCGCCTTGTACCCAGAAGGTCGTGGGTTCGATTCCAGGGGGTGCGTACTGTGAAGAGTCCCAAACTAGAACGAAACAGCTGCCGAGTATCCCCAGGTTAAACAGTTATTTTGTCTTACCTTGCAACACTTTACTCTTCTGTTGTGTATGTTGTACATGATCACATAGCAAATCAGATAAATTAAAGTATAAACTTGCACAAAGTTGAATCAGAATAAGGTTTAAAAAGCTTTGTAAGGGATATTGAAAAGCACAGAGAACCAAACAGTTATACTTTTCTTGCTTTGGAATCTTCAGTAGTAAGTATACATGATCCTAGTGAAGACCGAATCCGGGACTTTCAGAGTACCATTCAGCTAACATGTCAATATCCAACGTCCTAGTAATTGTAACATTTGTCCACTCCAAAGAGAAGTTATGACTGCTGGATATCAAAAAGTTAAGTGTGAGGATAGATACTCGCTGAAAATCCACCAGATGGAGGCGGTGTTATGTAGCGAATGTACGGGTGTACTACTAGATAGCTTAGCCAACGTGTTACTCAACATTCTCCAGTATGATTTGGAAAAGGACGAACATAAACCAACCGTAGCTCGATTTTGTCACATTTAGTTGAGACAACGAAAGCATTCAAGATGATTCATCGCAGTGGTTTACTGGTTATGTGCTCACCTCGCAACGTGAAAGTCCTAGGTTCCATTCCTGATGCGATCGTCTGTACAGGCTGCTGAATAGTCCCAAAACAGGTACTCAGTACTACTTGGTTCTGTATCTGATGTTGGCTCATGACAAAATCTACCTTAAAAACCAACACTCGAAAATTGAAAACAGGAGACAAAACTAAACAGATCATGTATCATTCACAGTGTTTTAAAATCATATCATCAAATTTATGTTGGGATATTATGCCAAATCCAACAACAAGTGTCATTAGTCAAAATTTTGACATCTTGAGTATGTATGATGTATGATGCGTATCTGAGATTCACATACAAGTGTAGTTTTCTCTTAGTCTTAACTAGCAGACACAATAATGAGCAAACTTCATCGTAAAAATGACAGGAGAACCTTCCGTCTAGGGGAAGCATCAGTCTGTACAACAGGTGATATTAATTAAATTAATCCCAGTGGAGATTCGTTTGTATACTTTCCAGATAAATAGGTTAGTAGAAATGAAGACTGTGATATATATATATATATATATATATATATATATATATCGACGCGTTTTAGCAGCCTCAACTTACGCACCAATTAACTGTAATTAGGGTAAAGCCAAGGATAAACTATATAGGAAGTTGTTCAGTTTACTGTAGAAAAACAAGGTGCCCAAATGTAGTCATCTTGACAAGTAAGAAAGAAGATACACGGTTATGATCAATGGATATATCCCGTTATTTAAGTACAGAAGATGATGTAATACGGAAAATATATTAGAGGTGGGTCATGACAACGAATGGACAACAGTGATCGCCTCTTACCGTCACCTGCTCCTGGTCAGCAGTAGCTTTAAACATAAAACATCATTCACTTGGCGACCACTGACATTAAACCTATTATGGGTGAAAATAGACCATCTAGTCAGAACTCATCGATACAGATTATTAGTGAAGTATTTTTGTTCCTTTTTAAACACCAGCGTGGACTACCATAATGCACAAGAATACCTGCAACCAAAAAGATGTTCTAAAGGCCTGGTGTGGATCACTGATCATCTCATTTTGGAAAGCAAGTAATATTCTAGAAACAATCTTAAGGGGACCAGCTTGAATACCAGTATCGATTGTTTTAGGTTTCATAGCGAGATAAAGGTTAAATGAGGTTCGGGAAAAACAAACCTGGGCGAATCAGTTAGACCTTGGGCTCAGACGACGGTAGACTCATCAAATGTATTCACCTTTCCACGGGTACACTCACAGGCATTAAAGAGTTACCTTATTTACTGGCCTGAATTCTGTACTTGATTCTAGTAATTGGATGACATTATGGTAATGCTTAGCTATGAAGGGAGTACGAAGAAAGTACATTATGCCAAGTAATGTACTCTACAGGAACTAAAGCAGTCATTTCATAGTTTGTGGAGAGTTGCAGTCTGAATATACTCAACGAGCAGTGGTGTCCGTCAGTGACACCTAAAGTAATCACAGATACTATCCTTGAAATCCCAGAATTAGGCGAAGCAACGTAGTAAATAATAACGAGGTAGGCATAAGTATGAAGTAAGAAGAGTACATAGATAGACGAGACTGTGAAGCTTCATAGTGTGCCAAGCCAACATTTTCCTCGACATGCATTGTTAGCTGAATTGGACTAAGAATAAATTCTTGATAACTTTTGGTAATATGGTTTAAAATCAATCAAAATACAGTAAATGTATTCGACACTAGTAACTAGTGTGATGCGTCTAGTTCTCTGATTGGTGTAGACTGAATTCTATCAGTCAGGTTGTAATGTGACCACTATTCTAGCTAGCTCGCCATCACGGTGCACATTGATTTGATGGTATTAGATGGTTGGAGGCAATCGGCAGGAAGCCTTGGACCTAGGTTTCGTGCGAGCCCGAATAGCTCAGTGGTAACGTCTCTGATTGCAGCACTGGGTGACGCGGGTTCGAATCTCAGAAGGGGCATGAGTTCCTTCAGGGTTGCAGATACGCCGTGCTGACTAGTGCCAACTAGCACGAAACCTAGGTCAAGCAAGACTTCCTGCCGATTGCCTCCAATCATCTAATACCAAAAATACAGTAAATGTGTTGCGCTTTTCTTTTCATCTTCCATATACTAAATATCAGTCTTTTCACCTCGAATCGAGTAATTTGCAAACAGCAAAATTCAAGTGTTGGCTTGTAGGGATTTCATTGGTTACAGGATTTTCATCATGAGCTGACATTAGTTAGAGAACCACTGGAAAACCTGGGAGTACTGGACTGCTGTTCCATCCTAGTTTGGGACTCTTCATCAGTACCCACCCACCGCTGAGTCTCAAACCCAGGACCTTTTGGTTACAAGGCGAGCTAGCTCGTAGACCATTAAGCCACTGGGACTCGACCCAGTGGCCCACGAATTCTAACTTCTACCAATTCACGAAACTGCGCGACCCCAGCCAATGTCTTCAGCGAGTATTTGAATATCAATGAGATGCCCACTGGTGACTTGCCCTATTCAGGTAGGTAGTTACCTGAGGTTCTAGTGAGAAGTCGTGACCAGTAGGGCGCAGCAGGTCGGGTGTGAGGACAAATACCCACCGAAGGCATTGGCTAGCAGTTGCGCTATGTCATGAATTGGCAGAAGTTAAAATTCGTGGGCCATTGGGTCGGGTCCCAGTGGCTTAATAGTATACAAGCTAACTCGTGTTGTAACCAGAAGGTCCTGAGTTCGAACCCTTCGTGGTGGGTGCGTAATGATGAGGAGTCCCAAACTAGGATGGAACAGCCGTCCAGTACTCCCAGGTTTTCCAATAGTTCTCTAACTAATGTCACCACAGATATATTGCAATATAAACAAAAGAAGACAAGAAGAGGAGGCTAGAAAGTTTTGCATATGATACTAATTCATAAATTGTCTTGCATCCTTTTAAAAGTGAACACTGTGAATTTTATACCAGGTGTGTCTTTTCTCTTCTTTTTTTTATAAATTTGTTTTTATCTGAAAATTGAATATCATTCGTCAACTTTGCGTGATATTCATATATATATATATATATATATATATATATATATATATATATATATATATATGCCTAACGACTTTATTCCGTACAATTATATCTTACCGACTGAATTCTAATTGATAATTTTGAGAAATAAATGAAATTCTCCCAGTATTATTGCTAATTTTGATATGAGTATACCACCATATGGTTTGTGCAGATGATGATGAAATATTATTAATTAGTTTAGAGTTTCTCATTCATTTCTCAATAGAGCATGTGAATACAAACAAATTCATATTGAATGAGTCGTTTTTCTTTCTTCAGAAATTCTCAGTTAACACGGAACAGTGTCTTTAAGTATATCAGGCAGGTGAAGAGCTATACACTTTATAGTGTGAAGGTGAATGATAGGAGTCATTTTCCAAGACTTGAATAAGTATCAAGCGATATACAACCTCACCATGCATTGGGGGAAAATCAAGAGCTTAAATCAACAAATGAATTTTATCTTCACACATCAAATTTCACCAGTGACAAAACCACTCAAGAAATATCTGAAAATTTTCACAGTGAAGTGATTATGGTTATTTGGAGAGGTGATTATTTCTTGGACAGAGACCATGGAGAAGAATTATGATAGTAAAGTCGAATTTTCAAGCGTTGGTGTATAGGGATTTAATTGATTTCAAGTGACCTCAAGAAATCATATAAATTTCAGGACCATCGAAAAAGTAGGGAATACTGGAGAGCTGTTTTGTCCTACTTTCGGACTGACTATTTAGCAGTAAGCTTCATAACCCCGCTAGGAATTGAAGTCCAGGACCTCCGCGTTGTGTGACAAGTCTGTTGACCACTCAACATCTACGGCGAAACTCAGCCGCAAATGAATCCCAACTTTTGTCAGTTAGAAATATATGGCACTAACGCCAGGCAATGTTATCAGTGTATACCACCTGTCATCACATCCTATTCAGTGGATTCTAGTGATTATGACTTCTTACTATACCCCTTCAGGTACTACTACATCCTGTAGTTAGTGGCTAATGAGCAGTATATTAATTTGAAAATGCTGTTTAATTGGCGGATGGTGACTAGCAGTGGAGTCCAGGATAACGCATATTTCGTCCTATTTGGGACTCGCACCTGGATGTACCTGCATTCTCCAGTGACTGATGATGTTCCCAACGAGGTTCGAACTCAGTGCCCATAGTTTCAAACGCCAAAGATTTCTCCACTCGGGCCACGAGAGCCACCTCTTGTGCAACATCGAAGCGTCTGCACAAGAAGCCGACATGTTAACCTGAGACCGAGCACTTCGGTCCAAACAGCCGACGGGAAAATCTAAAATTCAATTAAATTTAAAATGTTGGTTTGCAAGGAAGATGACTGGATTCAAGTTAGATCGCGAATTAATATTAGTCAGACAGTTTCAACCTACTACCAAACAGCTATTCAATCCTCAGTGTTCTACAATGGGTTCTTTAACTGATATCAGTCTGTCATCTAAATTGAAATAAAAAGTAAATCCCAGAGAAGTGAGTGAATGATCGATATAAATATGAACAACAACAACAAAAGCAAATTATTTTCGAAAGATAAAACACATAAATAATACTGAGCTTAACATTAAAGACATAAGACTTGAAAGGAGAATTCTAATGATTTAAACCTATAAACTTTAAATTGTTCGATGTATAAAATGACAACAAAGGCTTTCATATCGAATTAATTGTCAGCGCACACAACTGACTATTTATTGAAGGATTACTTCCATTGTGCAAAAGTTCGTTCTTTATTTTATCTTAAAGTGGTTAAATAAGTTTGTTGGCTTTGAACTCTTTCAGGAACAATATTAAAGTGTGAAAGCATTGCTAATATTAAGGCCTAACGTGTAAAGTAGACAAAATCAGCTATTAAACTAATTTGAACTGATTGAAGTGAATATATACATATATATCATTTGTAAGGTGTGCAGAGTCATTGCTTATCGTATTGTACACTATCAAGATGACTGTGATTATTGGTAAATCCTGGTATTGCATGGAGGATTTCATTATGAGCTGACATCAGTTAGGGAACCACTGGAAAACCTGGTAGTACTGGACAGCTGTTTCGCCCTAGTTTGGGATTCTTCATCCGTACGCACCCACCACAGGGAGGTTCGAACCCAGGTCTACGAGCTCGCTAGCGTTGTAACCAGAAGGTCCTGGGTTCAAACCGCCCTGTGGTGAATGCGTTCAGATGAAGAATCACAAACTAGGACGAAACAACTGTCAGGTTTTCCAGTGGTTCTCTAACTGATGTAAGCTCATGATGAAATCCTCCATGCAATCAAACAAAATCCCTTCAAAACCAATACTTGAAAATCTTGATATCTCCGACTAAATAATTCAATTAAGCATTTTTGTTTTACTTCATCTATGCGTTCAGAGAGGAGCATAGGGCTTCAAGCTATAAAAGTTTCATTAATGATGATGTTATTTTTACGTGGTGGGTTTGCTAACCTCACATTCACCCCACCCTCAACCTTCCTGCTTTTCCAGTCTAACTGCTTGCTATTATGACACTAAGCGAGGTTGAGTAGTATGTTGGCCGAGAAACGAAATTAAACCTCCCGCATAGTTGGTAAATATTCTATCACAGAACCACTGACACAGATGATATTTAGTATTTCAAACATTGTGCTCTTAGAAAAGATAGTCTAGAGTGACTATTGATCATTGTTTTTAGTGTAAAGAATAGAGTTTATACAAAATTTTAAAGAATGACTGAAAGTCGAACTAAACAGTTGGATAGATTGAAAAAAGAGAAGTTCTAAGACTTGTTAAATGCTTGGAGGCTCTTTGTTGTACCTCAATGGCAAGTCTGCTAGCATGGTGAACACACTGTTAAGTTGACTGACAATCAGCGTTAGTAAAGAGCACATGCAAGTGAGATTACTCACACCTCCACGACCAATACAATGTTAACTCTAAGACTGCTGGGTAATAAATATCATCGTATTGTTATGAAAAAGAAAACGACATCGACAGCAAGTAAAACTTACAATCAAATATCGATGTAATATTTGCCAGAGTGCTTTCCATGCGGTACAAAATTCTCGAGAACAACGATGGTACTAAAAAGAAGGAGAAAAAGAAAATCAAACAGAAATTATGATCTGAACGACAGTTTCTAAAATGACAATAATGACTTTATGGTTATACCGTACAGCTCAGAGGGCTCAAAATGAACACAAAAAAATAGTTAGCATTTTTCATGTGAATGGGAAGTCAAAGTGGTAGCAAACAACATGGGGAAGAAAATTCACCATGGGTTGAGTAATTCTCGACGAAGTAAAGGAGTATGTAGGAGTCTTCACTGACTTCTATGCCTTCAAAGATTTGGCTGATTGGAGGCAGTGTGTACAAGCATAAGGCGACATGGTTTTTACCTGACGCACACACTAAAAATCACATAGATTGCATCTTAATGTTGCTCAGTAAAGTGGAGATGCAGCCTGCTGGACACAAAATCGAGAAGAGGAGCAGATGTAGACTCAAACCAGTATTTGGTACACGGAACCTACAAGGTCAAGTCGAAAGTTTTCAAAGCAGTTTGAGATAGAGCACAATTCAAGTTCAACACTCAACACTGAAGGACGAAACTACAAAGAAAACACTCACTGCAGCCACCAGAGAAAAGTCAGAGATACTATGTAGTATCACCAAGGAAACAGGTGTGGAAGAAAATTGGACCTCATTGAAAGTGATGTTTAAGGAAACCTCCAAAGCTGCCTCGGCGAGGAATAAGAGACAAAAAAGGGATGGCTCTTGAAGGAAACCTGGAGGTCGATAGGAGAGGGATGGCGAAACAGAAGATAAGCTAATGCACAGATAAACGACGAAAGGAGAAGCTGACTTCAATGTACAATGCACTGCGAATAAAGAAGTGAAGAAGGGTGCTAGGAAAGCCTGAAAACAATTCTACGACACACTGGCAACTAAAGCAGGTAACAGACACCTCACAAAACCATGTCAAACAACCCGATCTCTATCTAGGAGAAAATCAACACGTCTGGTAATACTATATGCAGAACTACATACAACTGTCAGTGAACACTCGTGATCCAAAAAACAGAAGTCTTGAAGGCCATAAAGTCACAGAAAGTCTGGAAAGCATTAGGACCAGACAGAACTCCTTCAGTAGCACTGAAAACTGATCCATATGATCGTGCCACTTCTGAAGGTATGAAATGAAGGAACGGTACCCGTGGATCAGAAGAAAGACTACCCTTTTAAACAGCTAAAGAAGGGCAATTTATGCCTATGGAAGAACTGACTCAGCACCATGCTTCTGCTCACCTCAAATAGAATATTAGGCTGGATTATCGTCAAGGGAATTGATGCATTTTATGTAAAGTTCTACGCTGAAACTTAGTCAGTCAGCTATTCAATTGATTATTTCACTGAGAAATTTATTAATACTGAATAGTAAAAACATTTTGTTTACATTCTCGCCATATCCAACTTTCTTTATATTACATTAAATCTAATCATATAATAACCTTTAACGTGCCTTTTTCAGGCAGTATAAAAGATATCAGTATATGTATATTGCTTGCGCTTGTATGCAATTTAAATTATGAGAAAATCGGTTACGTAGAAAACTGTGGGTGATGAAATTTCGAATGAAATGAAATAAACTAGTGATCGAGGCAGGATTCGAAACATTGGCTTCCAAATAATTAACGCGGTATCGTCCTAGCTTATATATATATCTTAAAGTTGTGAGTGGAACACAGGGTTTCAGGCTTCATCTATGGAGTTTCAGCAGCAATGGTGTTTATTTTTTACGGGGTGGGGTTGCTAGAGTCATGCCCGACCTTCCTTCTTTCTGTGCTTAGTACAGGCTAAGCGAGGTTTGGAATTTCATTGGCTGAAAGTCGAACGCCGGTCTATATGCAAAATTGACCAGCATTCTAACACTAAAGCAACAACGCCACTACATATATATATGTACATATAAGCCTGAACCACTTACTTTGTGTAGCCAGTATCGTATCTATCCATACAATTAGTTCTATTTATAATTTAAAATGATATAGATTACTGATAAATTCATATAATTATAGACTCGACTTGTAAATACCAATTGAGAGATTTAAAATTCAAAGATTAAATACCGATACGAAGGGGTGGGGTGGTGGTAACTAATTAGTATTGTCAACTAAATATACACAGAAACAGGTATAGGCATTCATTATTAAATAGCAAAATTTATTTTTATTTATGTTAATATTATTATAACAATTTCTTATTAGTATGAAAAATTGTTTCTTTTTGCGGATGTACATACAACTCTGACCTTAAACTAAGGTTAGATTGAACGATATATGCAGGTATTAAGCATCTAAACTGTTTAGGTGAAGCAAACTTATCAACCTAACTGTGCTATTGAGTAGTTAATTATTGAGCAAACGAATGATTTGGCATTCTGATCAACTTATAGCAGTGGTAGCAGTAGGAAACAGGAACAGTGGATTTAGAACGGATCTATTCTTCAAAGATTTATTTCAAATAGATGCAGGTTTGACAGTTGAATGTGACTGTCGAACTCATTACACGAACTGGTCAAGTTTTTATACAAATTCTAAAGATTAATCTTTTAAAACGAAGTCATCATTTTCTCAGGTGAGATTAAATAGTAGACTTTCTATCAGTCTGCTTTTAGACTAATTTGCATTTCCGGCTGATTGATTATATATTGCATGACTAATTGACTGACAGAGAACTTTGCACAAATGTGCAGCATTTCAAAGTCACCATACCCCAAGCATCACAAAAAGCAAGAGAAGAAAGTAAAAAGAAGTGCAAAATAGAGATAGTAAACAGAGATATGAAGCAAAAAGAATAGTAATAACGAAGAACAATATACTTTTATTGGGTATTTTAAGTCACAAGGAGTGGATGAATCTCCACCATCACTGAGAACGATTTTCAGCCATATCACCAATTGTCTGTCTCTAGCACTCATTGGTTTTTACTATCCCGAGGATCCTGACCAGCCGCGAAGTCTACACCTCCCTACATGGCTGGTTGCCTCAAACTAACTATTGTGGATTTCACTGACTGATGAAGCAATGCTTTGGTTTGATCACCACTAGCCAACTCTTTTCCAACATGACCCTATGTCAGTCAGCTAACATTTCCCGTTGGTTGAAGAAGGCGATCGATGGCTAGACAGGCATGCGTAACCCATGTCCTAACCAACTCAATCGGTGTAACTTCACAACCTCATTGAGTGATTTTTTCTCCTTACCTAGCACTCGAACGATGCCTAACCTCAATATTACTCACCATATTAGGTCGGAAAAGAGTCAACAATGGTCACATGAAAATACGGAATCAGTTTATGAAGTCTTCGACTATCGGTTTGAACCACTTAGGTAGGTATAGACTGTCTACTTGGAGGCCCCTTCGGAAACTATGAAGGAATGGTCTAAGAGTGTTAGTGATATCGCACCAAATCGTTCTCAATGGCACAGATGCATTTACTCTTTGTAATCATCCAGATATATATATTCAACCCTTATGTTTTTCCATATTAATATTCTTTGCTCCAGAAACTTCTACCCTATGAAGTTCATTTGATTATATTTTTTTCATTCGTCTACATTTATGTACCATATGGAGTATAACGACTTGAACTGTTGCCTATCCTTGCAAGGTCACGTGCTGCGCATGCCTAACCACCGCCTCCCGCGACGGGCATTGCTGGCTGATATAGGTGAACGTTGGAAAAGAGCCAGTGGTGGCCAAACAAAAACATGGCCTCATCAATCCATGAAATCCTTGACAGTTAAACTGAGTCGGTCAGGTAGGGAGATGCAGACTTCCGGGTTGGGGCCCTCGGGACTGACTCTAGGAATCAATGGCTGGAGACAATAGGTGACATGGCTCAAAATCGTTGTCAATGGCCAGCGCAGATGTATTCAGTCTCTGTAATCTTTCATATTCCTTTCTACCATTACCCATTCTGTTTCACTCTTATACTTGTCAGACTGTATTGATTCTCTTCACTCATCTTCTTGTCCACCTTTGTGTGCTATTTGGAACGTGGCAACTCGAACTGGTGCACTTCGGTGCCAAGTTCTATGTTGAATCCAGACAGACAGACAGACTATCCTTGCAAATTACTATGCAGAAAATCAGTGAGTCAGATACCACTGCTAGAAAGTGGTGTAAAACCAATAGACTAAAGGAGATTTGTTTTTTTAATCATTTTGAAATAAGAAAAATGAACAAATTTAAACAAAAACTTACATTCAGTAGTTTTAGCCAACTAATTTGCGGTACAGATTGACGCCAGAAATAAGAGAAATGACCATATCCTGATAGAAATAGATAACTTGAAACCACTAGACGAGCTGACATAAATATTGGAGTTACCTGGATAATGTGGAAATATGACACTTATTTGAAAGGACTTAACAAACGATTAGTTTGAAATTATAATAATTATTGTAACTAATACTACTACTATTACTAATAGTACTAATAATATTTACCACTAACCTATATGAGTAGTTGGAAGACACACCTGTTGACTAGTAGTGTTTACTATTTATATTTATTTATTTAAACGCAGAAAAAACTTGGTACAATGTGGCACCAAGAAAGATGCGCCACACAATAATAATAAAACAACATAGATCAAAAGTAAAAAATATAAGTAGAGAACGGATAAAAAACATCTGGGAGGAAAACAGTCATACTTAACAAGCAGTATTCGTTAACTATCTTCCGGAAGGGAAGAAAGAAGGAAATTGCAACACGTTCGCCATTGATTACGATTCTTGGCCATATCCGATAACATTTCGAGCCATCGATTTGAGCTATCTCTCGGATCCCAACCAGGGAGTCGTGACATACCAACCGATGCTAATCTAGCGCAAAAATCCTTCATCCCACGACGCCACGTCATGGACTGACCACCTCTCCGCCTTATCCATCCCGTCCCAGGGCTAGCGAACAGAGACCTGTACGGAAGCCTCTTGGATGACATTCGCAGCACACGTCCGGGCCACCGGAGTCGGTGTTTCCAGATGACGACACTCAAAGAATGATGATCTCCACTGTATTCAAACACACTCCATCGAACCTCAGAATTACTCACGCGATGATGCCATCGAACGCAAGCAATCGTGCGGAGATGATGATGATCGAACACGCAGAGTCGTCGCACATCCTCAGCTTGGAGAGGCCAGGTTTCACAGGCGTAGAGCAGGGCAGCCCGCACCGAAGCATTGTATACCCGACCTTTGACAGCCAGGCTAACGTCGCGACGGCGCCAGAGGTGGCTCAAGTTGATGTATGCCACCCTAGACTTCATTATACGGTTGGAAATCTCATCCGTCACCCCTCCGCCAGCACTCATACAACTACCCAGATACACAAATTATCAACAACTTCAAGCGGTTCACCCGCAAGAGTGAGTGGGTGACATAGAAGAGATCTTTTGAAGTGGAGATGAGAGACTATAGGCAATCGTGGGGCCAACTAAAGACGACCGCGGAGAATAGGAAAAAGTGGAGATGTGGTGATGAAGCCCTATATTCTACTTGGAACCCCTAGTGAATAATAATAATACAATATTTCCTTTGTACACGTTAACCAACAATGAATCCTATAGTGTATATATTTCATCAGCTATGCTCATGTGGTTTCAATGAATTTATAAAATTATAAAATTTTTCAAGAGATCACAAAGTTATGAATGTCGACTCTATTCACTTGCAGTCAATATCAACAATAATCAACAACCACTTTAATTTACAAAACAGTTGGAAATGAGTCACGCTTATTCTGTGGAAACTGGTGATGCTTACTACCTGGTTCCCTGAACGCTGTTAGGAGGGGCGGGATTCAAACTCATGACCCTGTTGGCTAGACGCCCAGTGTCTAAAACCACCAGAAAGTTACTTCAATGCATTTAGCTTAGGAGTGTATTGACAATAAACTGGATTGAACAATTTTATTTTTATAAAAGAGATAATTAAGTTGAATATTCATTGAGTTAGTTAACTTACTCTATAAGAATCAGTGAAATGATAAATTAAAAGATACAACTGCATCCATCCTTTCCATTCACGTGTTATATCAAGATGGTTGACTTTAGTCTATAAAATAAAACAAAAACAGAATGCCATACGGGTAAAGAATAGTAATAATAATGACAATAATTGTTATTATTACAGATAGAACTCAGTTCCACGGGTCAGATTATAGTGTGGGGTTGATGATGCAACTAAATTGAGAAAGCTGACGTACGTGAAGTGGGATTCAAACTGAGGATCCACTGGTTGACAGTTGACTACTCGACTCCACAATTATTTTTAATATTAATGAATTACAGTTATTTTAACAAGTCGATATTCATAACTTTTAGAAAGTGTCTACCTGATTACGGAGTTTAGTGAATTGGTAAACACAACGTTATTGAAGAAAGCCAAGATGCCTATAAAAAATAAGAGCTACAATATTCAAAAAGGCCTCAAGAAAACTACCTGCTATCCTTCCCCACTACTGTCAGCGGTCATTACGAAAACTTAGAGTCAGATTATCTTAAGGCAGTTTTCGTTCCGACATCATTCTGCTTGTAATATCCAGTTTGGATGAAGCTTAATAAATCCATTGGCTTTTAACAGTCTTTGGCTATAGCCTGTCAACTGTTTTCAACGCTGTTTCTACAGTATGCTGAGCGTAAAGTGTCTGAACAAACATATTCCAGGGGGATTAGACATTCTTCTTCAATTACCTGTAGTAAACTGACTTAATTATAATTATTTTTTACTTAATTCAGACTTCAATCGATGGGTGCTTGAGCAAAGACTGCAAAAGCATGTCTGTTTGTATCACAATTTTCTCTTGTCATTAAAAACCTATATAGACAGACGGCAGAATAACTTGTGTTTGCTAGAATACAGTCGAGTAGCATCATCTCTAGTAATTAATGCCAGCTCTCTACAAAAATATTTTCATATGGACAAACTATCTCCTGTCATATGTAAGGTGAATTTTGCTGATTTATTGTATTGATCAGGTTAGCTTCAGCGAATAGCTACACTTGAGTGTCGTAAATGTCTCTCAGAGGTAACAGAAATGCATTATCAAGTGGAACCCGAATGGTAAATAACGAGTTGGTCGGTCGTCCGACGGTGACATGGAGGAGATCGTGTGAAGAGGAGATGGAAGTCTATGGACAGTCATTGGGTCAGCTAAAGTGGACTGCAGAAAACATGGTAAAAAGAAGATGTATCGTTGAGGCTCTATATTTCACTAGCAGCTTAAGGGGATAACAGTAATACTATTAGGATATAGTACTGGATAGTAGGAGATAATCTGTAGGAAAAACTTGTTTTGCCTCAACTGGTACTAAGTTATATTCTGTGATTTCGAAGATTCCATCTTCCCTGTTCTTAGCTGGCTTCACGATTGTCCATCGTCTCTCACCTCCTCAATGTCATCCTCGGCAGTCCAAGCTGTCATTTAGCATTTAGGTTCTACTAGACGGTCTGGTGGGTGGTACCACTCAACGGTCTCCTCATCGTGTGTTCGACCCATCCCCACTTTCTTTGGCGTATTTGTTGGACAATAAGTTGTTGGCAGGTTTTATTGTGGCTAATCCTTCCTAGCCAATTGATTTTTAGTATGGAGCCAACGGAAGCATTTGCTGATAAACGTCTAAAACAGGCTGTTAAAAATGTTTTCGGTGAGCCGTCAGGTCACTCATTAACATTGTGATATATGATGTTCGACATAACAGAATTGAATACACCAGTCAGTGACAAATAAAAGTAATGTCATCCTGGTGTAATTCAGTCAACAGTATTTTATTAAAAGCAAAGCTATAAGTTTTCCGTAGTTTTTGACAGAGAACTTGACTTCATTCATAGCATCATTATTTCCAGTGTAACCTTATGCATATATGTACTGAATTAACTTTCTTATGAAATATTACTCAGAAAAACAATACCACGAATGATATCACAAGCTCTGTTAAGAAAACAAATATTCATCTATAAAAGTAATAATCCAACTATTCACAAAAGAAATTGTGCACAGACATTGTTTAAAGGAGTCCAAATACACTGTAGCCCTCCAGTGTTGAAGAGAATATAGGAAAAATACCTAACAACTGTCTTCAAAAAGAAGGAATAACCTCATAATTTCATTAAAAAGTTTTCAAACTCAAGTGAGTCATAACACCAACAAGAAACCATCATCAAAGATCACAAGAAAATTCACTCCATCATAAATATATATATCTGTCTGTCTGTCTGTCTGTTTTCGACATAGAACTTTGCACATATATGTGCGGAAGTTCAAGTCGCCACACTCCGTGTAGCACGCGAAGCAAGAGAAGAAAGTATAAGAAAAGCATAATAGAGACAGTGTGCAGAGGGGTGAGACAAAGGAAGAGTAATAACGAAGAACGAAACAGTTTCTTTGGAGATCATAAGTCACAGGGAGTGGATGCATCTGCGCCACTGAGAACGATTTTGAGCCATGTCACCAATTGTTTCCAACCATTTGTTTTTACCGTCCCGAGGACCCCAACAAGTCAGGAAGTCTACACCTTCCTACGTGGCTTAGACCAACTGTTGTGGATTTCATTGACTGATGCCAAGTTTTTGTTTGACCGCCGCTAGCTTTTTTCCAGCCTGACCCTATATCCGCTAACACTGCTCGTCGAGGGAGGCGATCGCTGACTAGGCATACGTAACACATGTCCTAACCATCTCAGTCTTTGTAGCTTCACGACTTCGTCGATTGATTTCCCCTGTTTACCTAGAACTCTACGCCTAACCTCCATGTTGCTCACCTTATTATGCCACTTTACACGGGAAATAGAACGCAGGCACCTATGATCAAAGACAGCTAGTCTTTTCATGTCTTCCACTCTCAGTGGCCAGGTCTCACAGCTGGCCATAAAGGAGGACGGAGCGGACTGATGAGCAATAAACACGCCCTTTGGTCGATAGTCGAACATCTCGTCTACGCCAGAGTCGGCGTAAACTGGCAAATGCGAAACGAGCCCCCTGTATTCGTGCTGAGATTTCGTCAGAGATCAACCCGTTGGCGTCGGCTGATGGTACTTCCCAAATAAGTGAAGCGGTCAACGTGCTCTACCACTTCACTTCCTATTTTTAAACTAGGCGTCGATGTAGTCCAGTCCTGTAACATCATCTTGCATTTGGCGGGAGCGAATCGCATGCCAAACATTCGTAGATTGCGGCTCAAGGTGTTTAGAAGACTCTGCATTTCGTCAGCGTCTTCGCCTAGAAGGACTATATCGTCTGCATATTCCAAGTCAACGAGATTATTCCCTCCCTGGTAGCAAGTCAATCTCTGAGTCGCTGAAGTCACTTAGGATTAAGTCCATTAGTACATCTATGATGAAGTTGAATAGAAAAGAGGATAGTGGGCATCCTTGACGGACACCACTAGTCGTCACCAATTCAGATGACAACTCACCGTAAGCTCTCACCTGGCTGTATGAGTACGAGTAGAGTGCCTTAATCAGTGCAATATATTTTCTCGGCAATCCCTTTACAGCCAAGCATCTCCAGAGGACTTCCCGATCGACAGAGTCGAATGCTGCCTTTAGGTCAAGAAATACAATGACTGTTGGACGCCGGTCCCTATGTTGGATGCCTATGTTCTAGAGTCTGTCGGAGGGTGAAGATATGATCAATACACCCTCTTCCTGGTCTAAAGCCTGCCTGACTCTCTCGTGTTTGAGCTATTATATATATATATATATATATATATATATATAATATCTCTGAAATAACAGCTAGAATATTAAGACCTTTTCAAATAGATATAGTACACAGGCCAACACATCCACCTCACTCAATATTTTGCTAACTGAAAGATCCAACAGAAAAAGAAGATAAAAATAATACCATTTACAAAATAGATTGCATGAACTGTGATAAACACTACATTGCTCAAAGTGGGCGTCTCCTTCAAATTCAAATCTGAGAACATAAATTAGCTGTGAAAATGCATGATGTTATTTTTCATACCAATGCATGTAGATAATTATGGACACCAATTTGAATGGGAGAATGTAGACGTTTGAAATAGAGCAAACTCGAAAAACGCTCCTAAGGGATTTCTAAGAGCCTGGTACTCAAATGAATCAGCCGGTGATTAACAAACACGTCACCATGGATCAAATTTACCAAATAATAAAAGATAAATCACATGACAAGAAAGTTCAAATTCCAAGTCAATAAAAGTGATCAATACAGACGTAAATCGACAACCAATCACGATAGTGATTGTGAGGAGATGTACAATTATATTATCAATCATGCAGAATTCCACTGAGTTCATTTAATACTAAAACCTACGCTGAAGGTGTTGTCTAGAATGAAGACGAAAGCTTTGCAGTTAAATCAACCAGCTAGGAGAACACAACTAAGTGAAAAGCTTTAAGGACAAAAGGGTTTACTCATGAAGGCTATCAAAACATGCACAATAAGAGTTACAAATACATTCACCACTATCAGGTGCTTGCAATGAAACCATTACGTAGTTAGCAACTAAGTCTTGTAGCTTGGCTGGTACAGAGAGCTGAACTAGTAATTCAGTATCCAATATTTCGAATCTTACTGCGATTGAGATTCCTACTTCCCCTTCAATCATCATCCACTGCATTAACAATAAATCTGCTAATCTAAGACAATCGCAGTTACTCTTACCACTGATTAACAATCTAAACCTGCTTCTCTTTTAATTCAGTATAGCTAAGATTGACAGACGAAGACTTAGCTGGGCCAACTAGTATGATAAATCGAGAGTAAGGTATCACCGAACCTCGCCTAGATTACTAGCTCACATAATAGTTCGAAATTACCAATGCTGACTGCAGTGAAACGATGATTTAGTCAGCGTTTAATTCTGGTGTCTCAGTTGGCAGAGTGCGCTCAGTTAGTAATTCGGTGTCCTCTGGTTCAAATATTTGATCATCATGACCTCTTGTTGTTACTTATTGAAAAAGTAAACAACTGTTTGAATAAATCCATATCATAAAACACTCCAAGACTAATTGTGTTATTTAAAAATATTTCATGAAAATCAAGACACACAGAACACAATTAAGGAGTTGAAAATCACAATGGCAAAGAAGAGGTAGAAGAAGATGAAAATGACTAATTTAGACTGAAATGATTGGTCTATGTTGATATGTTAGCACCTAGTAGGGACGCCTCGAGAGTATCTGAGGATTAACGCGAAGTAATTTGGTGGACTGTGGTCAGTTGTGGAATCCAGCACATACATTTCGTTTTATCTAGGACTTGTCATCTGGATTCGCTTCCATCTCCAGTCTTAGAGGGGAATTACACGTTCATCCAGCTGACGAGTCCCAAATAGGAGGAAATGTACATTCTGGATTCCACTGCTAGTCGTCACCATCCACTATAATAACAACATGATGAAAATGTCTTCAAAAAGATGTGGGGGAAGGTAGGAATACTAAACAAAATATTATGAGACAGTGACTTACACGTTTAGTAGGTCCACTAAAGAAAAGGCCTAATACAAAACAATAGATAATAGGCAGGAGAAAACTCATATTCGTATAACCTTTATTCGCTTTCATGAATAATATTGTCCTAAGAAAAAATAATTACAAAGAAAACGAACAGTAGAAACAAAAGGACAGATCAGAGCACAGTGTTAGAAAGACATCAACAAATCCAATATAAAATCATAAGCATAAATCACTCAAATTCATGCAATTTATTTATTTTAAATATGATTGCATAAGCATATTTAAGCATAACGATTCAGTGAATAGAAGAATCATCAGAAATATAAAATTGCAAATCTTGCTCAACCAAACAACCATTTGCATTTCTAAGCATTTAGCAATTGACCATACGTGTTACGTGTGTGTGTGTATTCGAAGGTTAATGATGACTGCGGTCTGGCTGTCTTAGCTTCAAAAGGTTGAACGGGTTTCGAACCCTATCCAAAATAGTCAGTCGTAGGAAGTTGAACACCTGGAGACCAGTAAACCATACAATATGAAATAGACAAATATAAACTGAGAATATTCCCTTATCGAAATGGAAAGTGGCGTGTATTTTGAAGAAAAATACGCTCAGGATTCAAAGATGTTTAAAGTGGTATATGCTCATTTAATTCATGTGTATAGAAATACTTTGATAAGAAGGAAGCCTGAACAGATTATGAAGTGTTTTTGATGTGTTTATGCTCTTTAAGCTGGCTGACTGAATTGCGAGGTTTTTTGTTGTCTTTCTGGACGAAATTCATGGCGATAATTTGATATAGACATCTTTAGAATAACAACATGGTATTATACTATTGATTGATGCAATTAGTTTCCGAGTCGAGGTGAAGTAAACAACGGATCACTGTTTAGCTCTAGTGAGATCAAGCTAACCAGTTATTTAGTCGGTTAGACTCCAATCAGACAATTTAATTAATTAAAACTGTTGAAATTCTGAATGTCTACCTGGACAAACAGATAACAAGAATTAAATGTAACAGATTTTGTACAAAGTAACAAGTTCGAGGTGAGCAAATCACATGTTGTGGTCTTTTGGATACTATCAGTGACAGTCAAGAAAACAAGCATCCTAACAAGATGGTATATGGTAATGACTGATATAAGTTGGTTAGCATGAACTTCACCTAGATTCAAGTGGTTCCAAACCACTCCAATGAATCAGTAGTAGTAGCAGTACATGGCATCTTGACAGAATGCTTGCTTCCCTGATTACTATATATACAGTATCCAGCAGATTATATGATATCATCTGATTATTTTGGGTTTGTAAGGGAAACTGCAGTCAACCTTTATAATGAAGGGTGAAGTTTACAAAACACAACCTTTTAATGAATCACAACGAGTCTTGTAGATCCAAGTATTTCTTCTGAACCTCCTTTTTGAAAGACGTTACTCTACATACTACTTTTATTTATTTATGAATAGCATACACCACTGAGAGTGTAAATTGAATTAATGACCCCCTCTTCGGATTTTACTGATGATATATGTTAGAGATTCTATTGGAATTGATTTTTAAATATACAATCCCGTCGAGGTTTCAGGCTTGGTGATTCAGGAGAAGTAGTGTTACTTCAATGCGGTGAGATTACTCAACTCACGTCCAGACTTATTACTAGCTGGCAAACTAGGCGAGGTTTAGGAGTGCAACGATCAGGATTCGAGTCTGGACCATCTGAGTGGTTGGCGAACATTGGACTAGTGAACCACTAACTTAATTCGAAACTGATAGATAAGCGTATATCTTTCCGTCTGAAAGAGATAACTTCACAGTAAGGGCTATGACTTCGGTGAATAATAATAATAATAATACAGGTTCGACTTTTAATGGAAGAAAAGACTGTGGGAATTCTTCTTATTCATAAAGAAAAACACAGCATTTTGATCAGCGAAGAAATAGTTCTTTTCAACGACTTCATTTTCAAGCTGTATAGTCGTATTTATATAACAGAAAAAGGCATTAAGTGACACTAGAAATTGCTCAGTCAATATTGCACACATGTTAAGAATAAAGATATTTAAAATGATGTATTAAGGGAGTAGAATAGAGTTGAAGTGGATGAATTACAAAACTTTTAAAGATTATTAAATAAGTAAATTAGCAATAAGATTTTAAAAGTAGGTCAGATGTTGTCTAAATAATTAAGAGTACGATGATGATAACAATAAAGAAAGCGAAGATGAAGTAAATTGAGATGAATTCAAGCGGTAAAACAGAGTAAAAAAATAAAAGAACATAACTATGATTAAAATAAAGAAAAGGGTTTAACAAAACGTTTTTGTATAGATTATTTAGCTTTTTGTCATTGCATAGGTAGAGCTCCGGCCATGCATAATTGAAAAAAAGTAAGCTTGCAGAGAGATTGGCTTTGGCCCTGTAGATAGCTGTAAAGGATAAATCACGTGAAGCTGAATGACCTGACTCCAGAATGTGTTCGCAAGTTGAAGACCTCGTCGTCTTAAGCTAACCTTTCATTAAACAAGCCGGGGAATGTTTAGATATGGGTTTAAGGAGAACACACTTACAAAGTCCAATGTAATCATCTTCACACGAGTATATGAATGAGTTTAAGCGCATAGAGGTTGACATAAGTGGTAGTTTATCCTTAACGCACTGTCGAATCATATTTCGTCTGGTGAATACTAAATGTAATTCGGCTACATAAAAACAGAGTTCAACACATTTTGATAAACGACTTTTCATGACATCAGCAGCAGTGTCACCTTTGAATGCTAAACTCATAAACAGTGTCTTCTTCGGCTCTGTGATTTTGGCTAGGGACGTTTTATTTCTTGATGTTTCCTTCAATAAAATTTTTAGCATATCCATTACTTAAGTGATTTGTGTGAAGGTTTTCTAGTTCGATATCAACTGTATCTATTGAGCATATTTTCCGAATTCTGAAGCATAGAGAACGGATAAGATTTTCCTTTTTGCGTAGAGGTACCCAGCTGTTGAAGTTATTATGGTATCCTATTAATATTACCTCTCGGTATATCGACGTTTTTAACATGCCATCTTCTCTTTTATCTAGCATCACATCTACGAAGTGAAATGCGTAATTCGACTCTTCTTTGATAGTGAAAAGCATAGATGAGTGAAAACCATTAGATTTTCCAAGAAGTTCAACAGTTGAACAGCTTTCATCACAATGAAGGTATCGTCAACCTCAGCTGGCGAAAACAAAACCACGGCTATTGGAACTTTAAAAAAACAAACATGAAACCTTATGTTCTACTCAGAACGTAAAGAATCAACAAACAAATAATTTGTTTGAATAATTTGATAATGAGAACATTCAGAGAGCATTTCAAATTATCATCATTAAAAGTAGTCTTAAAGGCAAATGTGAATGAATTTCATAAACATGCACATACTACCGAGTACTAAGATGCAGGCAGGCATAATTCGACGTATCAGAGCTCATATACTTACAGAATATCTAAAAAGAAAGTTAAGAATTTAACAAAGACATAAAAAACGCAATGTGTCAGTGAGTCGATGACTGTTATTTTGACATGATCATTGTCAGAAGACTGTGGGAGATTTTAGATCGACAGCTAGACATCAGAAACATGGGATTTGAACTTATTTTTATTAACGGTTCAAAATTTTTTGACAAACTATTTTGAAAAAAAAAAAACAGCGAAAACTTGTAGGTCAAGCAAACGATTTTGATGTGATTCTGTTCTCTTAGCTGATCGGCTCAATCGAGAAGCTTTCAATGTCTGTCTCTAGAAACACCTTCATATTGAAGATTGCGCTGAAGATGCTAACTAGATAGACAATTAAACCAACTAACTCAGACAACAAAACCACATCAGAATAATTCACTCAGGCTACAATTCTTTGCTATGGTTTCAAAAAACTTCAAGTTCCAGAACAGTTTAAATCGACAATGACAAGAAGACCGTGATAATAAAATAAGGAAGACATAAAAAATGACTTTGATAGAACATTATGATAAGAAAAACAGTAAAAGATATTCGGGATAAAGTATACATTTACATAAGTGCAATCGATTTCAAACAGCTTCATCTAAACTTCTAAAACTACCTTCCTCTGAATATTAGAATATATATTCTCGCATTACTTTACACTTTACTAGACATGACCGTATAAAACATGCTCCTATACCATTGAAATACATTAGAGCAAACGTATCCAAATTCTAGTTCACTCGTAATTCTATGTGTTTGAATGACTTAACAACATGTACTATGCTGTCAAACAACATCAATAGTGTAAGCCATTTAAAAATGCGTATAATTATTATTATTCCTTTAGGTTCCAAGTGGAACATAGGTCTTCAACAACACATCTCCACTTTCTTCTATTATCTGTCGGTCTCTTCAGCTGGGCCTACGATTGCCTAAACTCTCTCATCTCTTCCAAGTCACCCTTTCACCGACGACCCACTCGTCGCCTGTCATTGAGATTCTACTCGAGCGAAGAGCTGCATTGCGTACGATGTCATTCGAAAGCCTCCTCAACGTATGTCCAATCCATCTACATTTTCTCCTACATATTTGTTGTACGGCCGGCTCTTGTTTGGTTGGTTCTATATCAGAATTTCTTGTTACTTATTTTTTCTGGCCTGCCATTTGATCTTCAATATGGAGCGAGGGCAGGCACCTCTTGATAAAAGTCTGCAGTTGCCTATTGGAAATCCTTTGTGTGACACGCTGGCCAAGTTTCTGACCCGTATAGAAGAAATGACTGACTTCATATATGTATTGAAAATCCGGATCTTGGTCTTTATGCTGCGGAATGCAGACTTCCAAACTGGTTTCAGGTTGATGAAGGCTTTGACATCTTCATCCGTTCCACCTGTAGTAACTATAATAATAATATAATAATAATAATTGCTTTATTCCAAAAACAGTACTCATGATACAGCAAGGAATTTTCAGCATTCAGTACAATATTGCATCTAATTTACTCAAAAACGACAAAAAAAAAATTAAAAATACACAATACATAATAGTAATAAAACGATTGTTGTAGCAGCTACGTAGCAAAATACTGTGTGCCATACGGAGAAAAATATGTATAAAGTACAAAATTGTAGTAATAATAGTAATACCAACTAATATAAAATAGCAGAGTAACGATTTAAACGATAGAAAGTGTGACACCATAAAATACAGAAAGATGAACGATAAAAGGGTCGATTCACTGTGCTAATTACATAGTAACTTGTAAGTTTCACGTCTAACAGAGTCTTCGTCACATAAAGTACGCGCTAAATAGGGTATTGTAGAATTTCTATACTTAGTAGTACGAGCATATATCTTTTTATATTGACTTCTCGTCCTACCTGATGAGATACAAGGGGACAGGTGTGAATAAAGGGGGTGCAGAGGGTCTGACATTATAGCCTTTGCCCATTTCGTACAGGAATTTATATGCCTCTCGACTATAGTATTAGCGAGCTCATGCAGTGGCAGACCACAAGCTCTACTCACAGCATTTAATACTCTTCGTAATATGATATAATCTTTTTTGAGCAGCCCAGGAAAGATTAATGGAGAGCAGTAGAGTACAATAGGTAAAATACAGGAGTTTAAAAATTGCAAAACTAAAGGTTGGTTGATACCTGATTGTCTTAACTTTTTAATGTAGAAGGTAAGACGAAACATTTTCTTAGAGATAGATAAGATATGGGATGACCATGAAAGGTCAGAGGAAAAAACTAGTCCAAGGTATTTAATGCTTGATTTGGTTTCAATTTCCGTGCCATCTATGCTACAGGGATCATGAGAGTTAACTAGTTCAAGTAAGTCACGTCGATGCTTGAAAGTAAAGTCAAGCACCTGACATTTGGAAGGATTTAATATAAGACCATTTGACTTGGACCAGTTGTTGATGTCCAACAGAAAGCTATTAAGTTTGGAGCTGTCAGACTCGGAAGTGATAGGCAGTGATACAGTCAGATCATCTGCATATTTGACAAAGTTAGTTTCGTTTGAATGAGGTAGGTCATGTAGGAAGAAAGAAAAAAGAAAAGGAGAGAGGACAGCACCTTGTGGAACACCGGATTTTGTAAGCGAGGTAGAAGAAGATTTGCCGTTATATACAGTATACTGCATTCTATCAGAAAAATAGGAATGCAACCAACTCTTAGCCCAGGATCCTGTTTGTGTCAACGATAGCTTATTTAACAAAAGGCCCCTAGGTACAGAGTCAAAAGCAGATGTGTAGTCTAAGAAAGCACTACGAACATATTTAGCACCTTTGTCTAAACAAGAGACAACATTGTGATATAAGACAACCGCAGCATCCAAGGTACTTCTACCATGTTTGTATGCAAATTGTTTAGGATCATTAAAAGGTTTCAAAGCGGGTTCAAGACGAAGTAAAAGTAATTTTTCCATCAATTTTAAAAAGGGGGAAGTAATTGCAATAGGCCGAAATTTAATATCAGAACCAGAAGATGGTTTTGGTATAGGGATAATTTTAATGTTTTTCCATGCAAAAGGTAGAACGTTACCGGAAAAAGAGGCATTAAAAATGTTAGTAAGAGGATAACACAAAATATCAGCACAATTCCTGAGGACAATGGCAGGTATGCCGTCAGGACCAAGGCTTTGAGAAGGCTTAAGAGACCGGAGACATTTAAGCACATCAAGGGTATTAAAACCACTAAAGTTATTGTCAATATGATTTGTATCATTTGGAAGGGTATCAACAGAAGAGCGTATGAAAGATTTATTAAGAGTGTCAACATTAAGAGATGGAACAGAAATACATCGCTTACCGTTAGTAATTTCTTTGAAAAGTTTCCATAAATTAGAAGGGGTTTTACATGACAAAAATCTTTGATTATATAAAACACTTAGTCTTTTTATTTCCAGTTTTATCAGCATGTTTAACTTTTTTACACCAGGCTTATCATTAGTTTTGAACAACAGTTCTTTATTTCTACGTAGCTTTTTGAGATATGGCGAAGATAAGCGATCAAATCGAATGAATAATGTTTCTTTAGGACAACATATTTCGAAACAGAATTTAAGATAATCGGTAGTGTTTGTGATTGTTTCATCTAATGTTTGTTCTGTAAATAAGTCCCAGTTAGTGTCTTTCAACATGCATCTGAGCTTGTCTAGGTTGTCTTTTGAGTAGCATCTCCGTTGAACTTTACTGTAGAGGTGAGAAAGGACACCTTTGTGTGATTTGGAATATATTTTAGGCAGTACACGTATGATGCAGTGGTCAGAATTAAGTAGAGGAGCACGTTTGCGAGCTTCATATATACCAACATCATTGATGAATACTAGGTCCAGTTTTTTACCAAGACGGGTGGCAAAGTTGACAATATTGTCATGACCAAGTGATATAAGGAAGGAGCAATCGCTTCCATTGAAGTCGCCAGTTACTATTGATAAAGAGTTCTCGAAACAAGCTGCAGCAAAAGCGGTGAATTCATCGGCGAACATAGATAAATCCAATATGGTACAGCCAGGAGAGACATAAACATTAGAAATATAAATGAATTTGTATTTTGACAGGTGTTTCGGGCGACATCTCACAGTGATGCAATCAATGAAGTCATTCGAGAATTTGAAACAAACTTTGTTTGAAATGGACCATTTTGAGTGAATAAAAGTTGCAACACCTCCACCACACTTTTTCTTGGAACAAACACGGTCTTGTCGAAAAACATTGAAATTGTTTAGAGACACAATATTGTCATCGTATGAGTCATGGAGCCAGGTTTCTTGCAGAGTGACAATACCAGTATTGTGGTAGGTACTAGAAGACAACAGAGACTGAAAATCCAGAATTTTATTAGGCAGGGACCGGCAGTTGGTACTAATGATAACTGGAACAGTGGTGTGATGTATGGGTGTAGATTTTAAGGCACGCTGCCAACCTCCATGGTGCTTTTTCTTGAGTTTATTGCAAATATGAAAGTTTTTGGGTTTAAAACGTTTTATAAAATCCCGGGAGTAGATAATACGATTAGAATGCATAATGTGATATGTAAATACCAATAAAATACGAGTAAATAGATGCAAAATGTACATGGAATGTGGTAGCCCAAAAATATTCAAACAGGCCGCCAAGGTGTGTGTTGATGGTTATTTCAACCTAAAGGAAACATAATGCTTATCTAACGCACTTCCTTCCCCCCTCCACACACACACACACACCCCACTTCAAAAACGATTAAAACCAAAAAAAAGAGAAAAAGGAGTGGGATTACCTAATCTACACAGTAACGACTATTTAATGCTTACCTGTCACAGATGAAAAAGTATACCATGATAGCACCAAATTTGGACAAAGCACTAGTTAATTCATAGAATTCAATAAAAAATGAATCGGTATTCTCTTTATGCTTATCATTACTATCATCATTGTCATTATTATCGACATCTTTATTGCTATTGTTACCACTGTTATTGTTAGTATTATTATTATTATTATTGTTATTCATGTCATGACCATTGTCACCATGATTGTCATGACAACCAGTAGTATTTAATGAATTATTTTCAACTGGAATGTATGGTTGTGTTGTTTCATTTTTTCTTTTATAAAACACTGATATGATTGTTCTACGAAAATTCTTCCACTGAATCCATGGTTTACCTAATCATAATACAATAAAAGAAAAGACAATAATAATGATAAGTGATCTAGAACCACAGAAGAATAATTTTTTCTATTTAAGTTATAGGAATATAAAAGAAACTGTATTTATACAATTATGTCATTTAGTGTTAAGTAATAAAATGACTTATAGTTCTTCTTGATTTCCTATTGAGATGTCTGAGACAGTAGAAGCAATAGTGTTGCACGACCTCAGAGTTCAGGGAACCACTGCTTAGGGTCAGTCATACAGGGTGTATTTGAAGTTATTTTTTAGGAAATTGTGTCCGTATTAACAACCCACCACCGGTTAAGGACGGCTGCAAAGTAAGTCGGGATATACAATATTCGAGGTCGACCCTTTTTACCCAACCACCCACGCACTACAGTCTCTAGAGCGGAGAGATAGCATATCCGGCATGCTAGTCATCTGAGGGGAACACCTAACTACTGTTGAGTCCCTGTGTGTCAGCAGTATGGTTTCACTTTCTAACCCCCAACTTAAGGTATGGCGGTAACTACTTTTAGTCTAACAGCTATCCGAACGACCTTTCTGGCAGTGCGTAACCTGCAGGGACATTAATTCCAACCAGTGTAGCTTGTTGGGTCGTCGAGATATGCATGCTTGACTAACATATGCAATATAGCAGCTATTGGCCAGGTTACTGAAGTATTTGTGTCGAACAGAACCCAAAAAGCATAGCAGAGAATGAACGGATAAAAGTAGGAGAAAAAAGTGCAGCATAACTACAATGTACGAGAGACAACAAACAATTAGATGAAGTTTGATGAGGATTTCCAGAATTTCAATGATGAATCACTGTGTACATTTATGAACAATGTCATCAACAATCTTCACTCATTCACTCTCAACATCCTGAAGACTCCAATCAGGTAATCTACCCCTTTATACATGACTTAAACCAAGATTAAATAGATTTCATCGACTGGTGTCATTTTTTAACCAGACCACATTGAAATCTTGATTAATATTAGTCGTATTTCAGTTAACACTATTCGTCACTGGATATCACGCTTATGTGTCAAAGATGACGCAAGTTGGCTAATGTCATCAGATAAACCTTCTTTTTATCCATGCTGAGATTTTGATCACCAACAAGTCGAAGAGTTTAATACCGAGTTAATTTAGACCACACCAATCAAATTACAGCTTGAGTAGCCACATACAGAATTCTACATTAGTGAGTCATGAATATAACGTGAGGACAATGAATAATGCAATTTAGTTACTGAAGTTTGACAATGTGAGACAGGAATTTAATCGATAACGCAATTATTGAAAACTATGTTTCTGCACCAATAGAGAATATTCTTAAACTATTCAAATCTCTGCAAACCAACACTTAAATATTTATTTGATGCTCACTAGGTAGGCAGTTACCTGGGTTCTAGTGGGATTTCGTGACCAGTAGGGTGCAGTAGGCTGAATGTGAGGACAAATACTCACCGATTACATTCGCTAATGGTCACGCTATATCGTCAACTGGCAGAAGTTGGAATGAACGGGCGACTGGTCTATGTCTCAGTGGCTTAATGGTCTACGAGCTCGCTAGCCTTGTAACCGGAGGTCTTGGGTTCGAACCTCATTCCTGGGTACTTATTGCTCAATAGTCCCAAACTAGTTAACTTGATATGATCATGAGCAATAATTTCTGCTCGAAACGTCATCGGTTAAAATTACTGTACAATACTGTGTGATTTATCAAAGTAAAATCTTTTCCATAATGGAGTTATTCTCTACCACAGAGCCCAAGTTTTATACTTATATCAATAATTTCGAAAACTATTTTAGAGAGAAAAATATTGTCAATAAATCGATAACATCAATAGGATACATAAATACAAGTGAGTCAAATGATTTGTACTTTATGCAACGTGATAGCCAATTGGCTTAACAGATGTACACCTTTGCACAAAAAGTGCATCACAGTCCAAGTTACCACACATCGAATAAGCACAAATCAAAGTGTATAATAAAGAAATATAATAAAATTGCAATGCACACAAATGGATGAGAGACAGAGAGAGAAAACCTGAAAAAAGATTAGTGAATATTTTCAAAGTTTAAAAAATAGGACAAAATTTCGGTCATTGTTGATCGATATATTATTTCACTGTTAATTTTTTATTCAAAATACCTTAAAGTTCTAAAATCTGTTGCGTCCTTCTCATGTTTTCTTTTTGATACACTGACAAACATTTGACTTGGTGTAGTGAAATGAGGCTATTAATTTACTGATATTCTTGAAGAAGGCATTGAGAAGGTTACAGGATTTCATCAGGAGCTGACATTCATGAGCCATTGGATAGAGTCCCAGTGGCTTAATGGTCTACGAGCTAGCTCGCCTTGTAACCAGAAGGTCCTCGGTTCGAACCCCCCCGTGGTGGGTGCGTACTGATGAAGAGTTCCAAACTGGGACGAAACAACTGTCCAGTACTCCCAGGTTTTCCAATGGTTCTTTAATCAATGCCAGCTCATGATGAAATCCTGTAACCAATCAAATCCCTACAATTCAACGCTTGAGCATTGGGAAGGCTTGATTTTTTTCAACACGAAAGCACTGAAATATCAGTCAGTGACGAATGTATTTCGGAATCGTTGCTTTAGAACAGGGAACAGGTTGTAGATACACTAGATTGGAGTAAAACAATTCTCATCATTATATTAAAAACACCAACGCGATTATCAGTTGACAAAGAGAACCGTCTGACATATCCTTTACTATCCTCTACAAAGTTGAACAAAACTTTCCAAAAGTGATGCGAGAGCAGTTGCTCAGAGTAGCGGAAGTTTTGTCAATACATAGCTTAAAGCCATGAACTTTGGATACATAGGCAATTTTGCACAGTCTCTTTTATTGCCGTGAGGCTACTCGATGAGGAAGGAGATGGTTTGATATGCATAACACACATGTCCTAAAGTCTTTAATCGATGTGTCTTCACAGAACCATCTGACGACTTTCTTTCTGTACGTAACTAACACCCTACACCTAACGTCATTATTACTGACCATATGATATCACCTAACACGACAGATAGACCACAGACATTTATAGCCAAAGACAGCTAGTCTCTTCATATCTTCCACTTTTAAGGGCTACATCTCACAGCAATAAGGAACGACGGGGTTGATAATAGTAGCAATAATAATAACAGCAGAATTGATCCATACACATCTTCGGTTACAGTTTTCCAGTTACTATAATAGAACAAAACAGTGGTTAGAGGAGTTATACACTGACTTACCACGAGAGAAAAATTGACTGTAAAGGAAGCACAAGAATGTGCTTAACACACTGAAATAGAATAAAGTGAAAAAAAAGATTTATATTAGCAGTAGACTTGACAGTGCTTTTGTAAGATAATGTAAAACATATTATGTGTTTACACTTCCCATCGTTATTTTCTTAACCAAACTGATCACGTTCAGTTTAACCTACGTACTGCCTTGATTTCTAACCAGTAGTTACTTGCAGTGGAGTCTAGAAGTCGTGCTTCATCCCTGTAAATAGCAATAACCCAATAAATAGCTCACAAAAAAAACTGTGAGCAGACATTGTTTAAAAGGGTCCAAAAACACTGTAGCACTTCAGTGTTGAAGAGAACGGAGGAAAAATACCTGCTAATCGTTTTCAAAATGAATGAATAACCTCGCAGTTCAATCAAGATGTGTCCAAACTTGAGTGAGTCATAACACCGACAAGAAAAAAACATCATCAAAGACCACAGGAAAATTCAATCTATCATTAATAAAAATTTTTTTCTAAAAAAAACAGAAAGAATATTAAAACCGTTTGAAATAGACACAGCACACAAGCCAACACATTCACTTGACTCAATCTTTTGCTAAACAAAAGTTCCAACAGAAAAAGAAGATAAAATCAATACCATTTATAAAATAAGTTTTATGAACTGCGATAAACACTACACTGATCCAAGTGGACGTCTTCTTAGCTGTTAAAATGCATGATATGTGAATGTAGAAGGCCTTATCTATACGGGTCAGAAACTTGGCCAGCGTGTCACGCAAAGGATTTCCAATAGGCAACTGCAGACTTTTATCAAGAGGTGCCTGCCCTCGCTCCATATTGAAGATCAAATGGCAGGCCAGAAAGACTAAGCAACAAGAAATCATGGGAACAAACCAACCAAGAGCCGATCGCTCAACAAATATGTGCGAGAAAGTGGAGATGGATCGAGTATACATTTAGGAGGCCGTCGAATGACATCTGACGCAATTCAGACTATTGCTCAAGTGAAATCCTAATGGGAAGCGACGAGTGGGTCATTGGTGCAAGGGTAACATGGAGGAGATCATGTGAAAAAGAGATGACAGAGTTTGGTCAATCGTGGAACCAGCAGAAGAAGATGGCAGAAAATCGGGAAAAGTAGAGATGTGTTGTTGAAGCTCCATGTTCCACTCTGAACCCAAAGGAACAATTATAATATAAATAATATAGAAGGCCTCGGCAACCTGGATGGAAAACCCTGATTTATGCACACAGAAGAAACTTCTCTACCCCCTCTTTCTACCCTGGGTATAATTCCAAGTACTACGACTTTGTTAATTGTTTTATTTTATTTTTTTATTTTTTGAATTTGTTATGGTATCTTACTAACATCTCAACCAACCATTTATTTACTCTTTCTAACTATCACATAATTTATTTTTGGACACGTGTCCCCACTAACATCCTATTTCATATTACGCAAACCTTGTGAATACCTACCAATCTTCACCGCCCCCTCCCACCTTAGTTACAATTTTGATTATTCATCACATTTTAGAAACATCTTGATGAAGTAAACATTAACCCTAACTAACTTTTATGTTTATTTTTGTTTGACAATCCTTATGTACACACACAAACACACGCACAAAATAATTATATATGAATGCGATTGTACAGCTAAGTGAAAGAATTCGCCGAAAACAGACTCTTCGCTGAACTTTGTTGTTCTTATATTCATGTCTGGATGGGTATTTTCCGTGAACCAACAAAGAAACAGCAGACTAGAGTTCATAGTTCATTTTAAACGTAGACATTACAGTAAGATGACTTTTCAATAACTTTGGATTCTATATCTAATTCTTTGAAATTTGTCTGGTTAGTAAGTTAGTTTATAATTTAATTAATCATATTCATTATTAGTTTATATATTTTTGTCAGATTTAGTGATTATTACACTTCCGCCTGACTTCAGTTTATGGATAACTCCTTTATTCAAGTATTGGTTTTTGTAGGGATTTTGTTTGATTCCATGGATGACTTCATCATGAGCTGACATCAGTTAAAGAACCATTGGAAAACCTGCGAGTACTGGACACCCGTTTCATCCTAGTTTAGGACTCTTCAGTAGTACGTACCCAGCACAAGAGGTTCGAACCCATGACATTCTGCTTACAAGGCCAGTGAGCTCGAAGACCATTAAGTCACTGGGAGCCGATCCAATGGCCTGTCCATGAATTCTAACTTCTACCGATTCATGACACAGCCCAACCACTTCTCAATGTCTTCTTCGATGAGTTACTACCTCACCTTCAACCTTCTGTACCCTACTGGTCCCGGCTTCCCACTAGGACCCACGGTTAACTGCCTGAATAGGACCAGTCGCTAGTGAGCATCAGGTTTTCTAATGGTTCTCTAACTGATGTCAGCTCATGATGAAATCCTCCAACCAATCAAACAATAATCCCTACAAAAACCAATACTTGAAAATTATCATAATTATCTTAATACAGCTAAAACAAGAGAAATCCATCTAACTATTAAACTGAACAAATGTTTTCATAGCCTCAAGGTCAAGTCAGTTATGAGTGAAACAAGATAAACAAACAGAAAAGAATAAACACCAACTATGAAAAAAGGATAACAGATAAGCTTGTTATTGTTGTTTTAAAAGAAAACCAAAGTGTGTACTATTGGATGTGTAGTTGAGAATTTTTATAACTCTGAAACAACCACTGAATTTATTGACAATAATGAAAGGAACAGTTTTCTGTTATCCAATGAAGCGCTGTATACGGTGTAAATACATACATACGCGCACAATAACAAAACCAATTGTATGAGATGTTTAAAGTACAAAAAGAGTATATGTAATACTAGACAGGCGAACAATACATCTATTGAGAACAATCTTATAATGAATGTAATAATCACCAAGTTACTGATAACTCAAAAGAAGTAAATTAATTAATAAATTAGCAAAACAACCAGACAAAAAGCAGTTAATCCCAAACTATAGAGACCCAAACAAAAGACCCAAGTAAACGGACTAAATAACCTCGATCAACCAATCAGATGGGCTCGCAGTAATTGGGTGTAAATTAGAAAAAACTCTTTTATATTCATACAGGGTAACTTTCTCGTATGTGATCCAAAAGAACTTCGTAATTCTTTATTGGAGACTTCAGTGATAATCCAAACCTGTTTCTGTTTACAAATTCATCCAGATTAACTAATTGTATATCATGCTGTTTCTTGACGTATTCATTGCTCTACAGTACTCATGAACCTCAAAAGGAGGCACGGTATGTCTTCTGGGACAGGTGTTCTGTAACGACAGTATGGACATCTGTACACATGTCCATTAACAGAAGCTGCATACCTCTGTAAAGAGGTTACTCATCCACGTCTACAAGTTTCCTTTAAGACTATTATCCCGACAGTGCTCAAATACTACGTCTTGATAGGCTCATCTGATTGATTGATTGATCGATCGAGGTCCGTTTACTTGAGTAGTTCATTTGGGTCGCTATAGTATAGAGTTACCAAAAAGGCGGGGTTACAAGCTGAGTTTCATCGTGAACTGACACGAAATACAAAAAAGCCAGTGAAAGCCAAATCTTACTTTGGGACTTTTCAAAAGTACGACCTCTCTGATTCCACTAGGGATTGAATCCATAACGATCAGATTATGTAGACAGTATCTTACCATTGATCGAATGGATTAGAAACCCTAGTTTCAACGGCTTTTTTTTTTATTAATGGCAGTTCATGAAGAGATCTACCTTGAAGTCAATCGAATCACTATAAGCCAACACTTTAAAACGGGGAAAAAAATACACAACTCTTTCCTCAGGCTCGATTCTATAAGGCAATATTAGTACACTGTTCAGCTCATATAACAGCAAGAATATAAAGTAAAGATGAACCGGATCATTCAGCTCATCAAGAAAAAAGATATACCAGAAAGATGAATATGGGCACTGATTGATAAGTGATCAAAGTATGTTCACAGTTTGTCTGTATATACACATGTGAAAAGTAACATGTCCTTTAAATATGATTTGTGAGACATTTTTACTGATGACATCTAACGGAAGTCGTCTCTCCCACTTGCCCATCTGGGTAGCATAAATGAAGATGTCAAAGCCAGTCAGGATCGAGAGGATAAGACATATGTTCATTACTGTGGAATCAGAGAGCAGATATCTAAGAAAGTTAACAAGAAGATCCATATTTTTAACAATAATGTAACGTCAGTGCTTTTATATGGTTCATAGACTTGGCGCATGCGTTAACAGAAGCATTCGTAACAGTTACTTGCAGTCAATACTGAAAATAACATAGCCAGTCAGAGTGGATAATAATAATAAAGCTTTATTTCAGACAATATGCGAACATATGGTACAAAAATTCCCAGCGTACTTAGTTCCAAAATACCTTTTTCTTCATACAGAATTTACATGTAAAATAAGGATCTGGAGCATATCTTCATTTCATTGAAGAATTGCACAGAGTTTCCTTGGAAGCAGGTCAAATCAGCGCGCAAATTCAAGTATAGGTCATCTGATTTAACCGCGGGGATTAAAACAACGATAAATCGAGATGAAATTAAGCATTTTGGTGGAAAGCAACTCTGGTAGCCCAGTGATTTAAACAGGCCGCGCCTTAGTGAACAAAGAACTCTGACAGCAAACTAAACACGTACCTATTGTCCGAGAAATAGGCAGAAGGGAGTGAAGATGAACAGGACATAAGATGTGGAGACAATCAAATGACATCATACTCTAAATCTTTGAATGAAACCGGAGGAGTCGGGTGTCTAACAGTGACATGGAAATGACCAATTTGAAATACACAAAGGTAACAAGTCACTTAGACCAGGGGACTAAGTTGTAAACTTGGTTAATAAAATTCTATCGGTACCAATATAAATCACTTGAAGAAACATGACACTGGATACTCCATAGTAAACAATCAATAAACTTAGATCTTGCAAGTTGATTGGCGATAGTGAGTTATTATTCACTCTGTACGTCGATAATTTAATGTGACCACCATTTTAGTAATATAAACGTTTATTCAATTAATGTAATCCTATTGTTATAGTAGATTTAAATGAATATTTGACTTACCAAATAGCATAAAATATAAAACATTTTTCTTGTACCGGTGTGATAGGCTCTGAACCACGGCAACAAGTACCATCAGAGAACTTCATTTGATTATTACAGTACAGATTCAACAAGATTTGTACATTCTATAAAATAATTGTACAAAATACAAAAAAGCGGGGGATGTAGACAGAAGGAAAAACGCATAACTTTCAAGGATAAGTTATCCATCGTGTAACGTATAAATTGTCTAGAGTCACTAGACATGGATGACTCCAAACAGTAAAAATTCGAATAAAGCAGCCAGAACTTTGTACACGAAATAAAAAAAAATCCAACCAGTATTGCTACCCTGGCCAACTGTGGGATCTATAAATTCATAAATTCTGTATTTTGGGTAGGACCTTCATCCGGTAAGTATTTTTTTTCCTTCACGTTCCCCAGCGGAACATAGGGCTTCAAGCTAGTGGCTTGAAGTTTCTGTAGCAGTGTTTAATTTTTACAGGATGGGGTTGCTAGCCTCATGCCCAACCTGTCCTCTTCACTAGCATTATCTCTGGCTTAACGGCGTAAAGGAGTTCGTCGGCCGGGGATTGAAACCCGGACCATGTGCATGGTCGGCGAGCGTCCTAAACACTATGCCATCCTGCAAGTATAAATTCCCAATATCCATTGCTTTAAGATTAATTTGCATTTTTTTGTTGGTTGATTATACTGGACCGAAATAGTCGGTCTCAGTTGAAAATGTCAGCTACTAGGACGGAGGCTTTGACAATGCCTAAGGATTAACCTAAAGTTATTGTGATTGATGACGACTAGAAATGGAATCCAGGAGGTGCACTTCCTCTTATTTAGCACTAGGCATCTGGATGTGTTTAGATTCCCAGTAAGTGATGGTGTTCCCGCTGAGACTCAAACGCGACAGCTATCGTTTCAAACGCCAGGCTATTATCCACTCGGTCATGAAGGCCTCCATTCCCTGATTATTTTATTCCCTTAATTTACCCTTGGTGATTTACCTGAACACTAGCACATACACACGACCTTCTAGTGCATTTTCTCTCCATGTTCTGGTATTACCACTAATCCGTATGACGTTTAAGATCAGTCTGAATCCAATTCGGTGTAGATGTCACTGATGGTCACTATCCTGACCATTTACTTTTGTCATCTGATGTCCACTTTAGTGCTGCATTTAAGTTAATTAACTAGGTAAGGACCAGGAGTGTGTTTGTTGGGAGTCGAACCTGGACTACATACGTAATTGGTGTGAACATTCTGCCAGCCACTCAACTACTCCTTATATTCTAAATAATATTCAATTGTCTAAGGAAGATCGGTAAAAGTGAAGTTAATGATCGGATATCTCAAAATATATTAGACAATGAGTTTATCAGTTAAGGGTAAAAAAGAGAATCATTATTTAATATCCTTTAGTCATAAAATAATCCTCAGTTTCTGTAGCGAAAAAAACTTTTTCAACAAGATATAAAACAAAATGAAAAATAATCTTTTTTTAATGCATTTCAATATTCAATTTAAATTATTTAATTATTCTCAAGGGAGTAAAACATAAAACTGGGAGTAGAATAATTTGAAATTTATTATGATAGAGAGGAAAGACTCCTTTTCTAGCTTTATTCTGAGAATAAATGAATATTTTGTCAAGTATTAGCTTTGTAGGGATTATCGTCTGATTGGTTGGAGGATTTCATCATGAACTGACATCAGTTAGAGAACCATTAGAAAACCTGGGCTCTTCAGCAATAAGCTCATGATGGAATCCTCCGTCCAATCAAACAATAATCCCTACAAAACCAATACTTGACAGTTAATCTGATGCTCAGTAGCGACTGGTCCTATTCAGACAGTTAACCGTGAGTTCTAGTGGGAAGCCGGGACCAGTAGGGTACGGAAGGTTGAAGGTGAGGTGGTAACTCATCAAAGAAGACATTGAGAAGTGGTTGGGCTGTGTCATGAATCGGTAGAAGTTAGAATTCATGGACAGGCCATTAGATCGGCTCCCAGTGACTTAATGGTCTTCGAGCTCGCTGGTCTTGTAAGCAGAATGTCGTGGGTTCGAACCCCGTTGGTCCCAAAGTAGGACGAAACAACCATCCAGTACTCGCAGGTTTTTCAATGGTTCTTCAACTGATGTCAACTTATGATGAAATCCTCCAACTAATCAAACTAAATCCCTACAAACACCAACACTTGAAAATTTTTATTTGCTTGTCATTTAGAAATTCATTAATGGTTAAATACTATCGATCAACAATAAATGTACACATGACAGCATGTTATTATGCTTGCTTTCTTGATTGTCACATTTATGCCGTTCAAGAAGATCACGTATTATGATCGGAATAATTTCAGGTTTCCTAAGGAAACTCTCTAGTGAAATTTCACCTCAAACTGAGTAAATTGCAATTCTATACAGTGTATTATCAGTTTCCCCCGGTAGCTAGAAAAAACTTGAGTGGTTTGAATCGGGTACAGAGCTGATGAGCCTTACCCCACACCAGTGAAGCGGCTGTCCAGTGTTTGGGTCACTTCGATCTGGCTGGCAAGCACTGCTGGTTGATGTGAGAGGTATTAACGACTACTCATTCCAACCAATGAGAAGTATATGGAGTCATATCATTTTCACTTTCCCTTAGCTAGCCGTGTAGGATGATATTAAGAAATGGTGATATTAACGAATGATTATTAAAAAATTCATAACAACTCTACCGGTAAATACGTATTGTAAAATAAGTATAGAGCTATTGACGAAGAGCTAATTGAAAGGTAAGTATTTCTTTGCTCAATGTGTTGTGTTTACATTGGAGATTTTCGATACATTGTACACCTTTGAATTGATCTCATTTTTTATACAAATTTTGGTATACTTAAAACCTAAGTCACGAATATACAACTGGCATTTACTGCTTGTGTGGCTCAGTGTTATATCTTACTGGCCTTACTGACCTTATGCGATCAGTTGAAGTAATCAATCCCTAAAATAGACTTTAAAAAATATAGTCGCTGGATCGCCCTAAAATATGATAAACCCTATTTATATAATGTACTTTTCCCCTTTCTCTTCATATTAAATAATTTCTCGACTGGAGGAGCTAGAGCTTATCCGTCAAGGCGATCGAATTCCCACCAGTGGGTCACGAGTTTGAATCCTGCTGAGCTTTAGGTATGTAAGTAGCAAGTATCATTAGACTAAACAGAATAGTTTCAGTTTATTTTCAGCTGTATGGAAATACAAGAATTTGTTAAGTAACTTATATTATCCTCTGATCATTACGATTTTCTTCATTTGTATATCATCTTACAGTACGGACGTTTATTAATCCTGTACTGCTATTGCTTCGTGTCCTGTTGATACGCCGTCTATGGCGTAGACGTGATATTCGGCTATCGACAAAAGGGCAGGTGTACTGCTCAACAGTCCGCTCCGCCCTCCTTTATGGCTGTGAGACGTAGCCACTGAGAGTGGAAGACATGAAAAACCTGGCTAGCTGTCTTTGATCATAGGTGCCTGTGTTCTATCTCCAGTGTGAAATGGTATAGTGGAGTGAGCAATATTGAGGTTAGGCCTCTGTCGAGTTCTAGGTAAGGAGGGGGAATCAATCGACGAGGCTGTGAAATTACATCGACTGAGATGGTTAGGACATGTGTTACGTATGCCTAGCCATCCATCGCCTTCTTCGACTAACGGGCAATGTTAGCTGACATAGGGTCAGGCTGGAAAAGAGCTAGCGGAGGTCAAACAAAAACATGACACCAGTTGATGAAATCCACAACAGTTAGTTTAAGCCAGCCACGTAGGAAGGTGTAAACTTCCTGACTGGTTGGGGTCCTCGGGACGGTAAAAACCAATGAATGCTGGAGACAATTGGTGATATTGCTCAAAATCGTTCTCAGAGGCTGGCGCAGATGTATCCAAGCCTTGTGACTTATGATTCCCAGTGAAACTATATTGTTCTTTGTTATTACTATTACTTTGTCCCACACTTCTGTTTACTGTCTCTATTATGCATTTCTTCTACTTTCTTCTCTTGCTTTGTGTGGTACATGGAGGGAGTGTGGAGACTTGAACTACCGCACATATGTGCAAAGTTCTATGTCGAGAACAGACAGACAGAGTCTTGTCGATTATTACACTATCTACTTCAGTTATTTGTTTGGAGAGAAAAAGTTTCACAAAGAAACAGCCCATAATACTTTGTTGGATATTTATGGGACTAGAAATAATAGAGAAGATTTGTAGTCTAGGTGGATGATATTAGTGTAGGCGCTGTAGATGTATCCTAGGAAGATAATCAAAGCTTCACAGTCAAACCATACGGCTCAAACAACAAAATAACATTAATATATTTATTAAACTTTTTATGTTCACATGATAATGTGTCATTTGACAGCACTGCTAACTGAACTTTTTCTCCTATTAAAATTCTACTCTAATGAACTAATATTAGATGATTAAAACCACACACACACACACAGAGGAAAAACTTACTTCTTTCATTGCTTTATCTGACACATGATATCCATCCGACAGTATTGGCATATCCATGCATACATTAGTAGACGAAGTACTATCTTTATACTCTAATGATGCTGAGTGACAATAGTCACGAGAAGAAGAAGAAAAGAATGAAATAAAAACTGATGTTAAGCAGAATTTAATGTGAATAAAGCAAAAACAAGAAACTGAGCAGGATAATAAATACAATAGCATACCGCAAATTGTTAATAATTCGGATTCATGAGCCAACGAATTCTACCCTAGTAACTGACTGGTCAAGTGGTTAGCCTTGTAACCTAAAGGTACTGGGGTTGAATATCCAGTGGGCATTTATGGGTGCTTACCGATGAAGAGTCTCAAATTAGAACCAAACATATGTTCACTACTCCCTGGTATTTTGAATGGTCTGGTGATCTAACTTGTAATAGAAGTGTGTTTTATGTGTTAACTGGATACAACCTGAACCAACCTTAATATTATCAATATACAAAATAGTGATACAATGTAGTCAGTTGGCATGCAGATGGAGGTCATTAATATTGCTCACATAATTAAGTAGTAGAATGCAAAGGATAAAAAGTATTAGCAAGATGATTACTATTATTTATTTTCATTTTATTTTTGTGCATTCCGAGTGGAACACGGGGTTTCACGCTCTGAGGTTTCAGTAGCAGTGGTGTTATTCTTTTTTTTCAAAGGGTGGGGTTACTGGCTTCAAGCCCAACCTACCCTCTTTACCGGGCTTACCACCGGCTAGACAACGTTGAGAAATGCGTCAGCAAAAAATTGAACTCCGAACCGAGTGCGAGGTTGGCGAGCATTCTGCCACTGAACCACCGACGCAATTAAAAATATGGAACGCTTCACAATTTTATATGTCGTCTTTGCACAAGGGCCATCCTAATTCTCTTATTATGGTTCCAATTTTAGTATATATACAGTCGAAGCGAGTGCGTTAGCAAGCTTGCTGGATACATATACGAACAGAAGTTGGAGATTAGTTAAACGTGTAAAATTGTTACACGCACATGTTACTCAAGGGTGAATCAATGTATCATTGTTTAAAAAACCCAACTTATATGTCACTGTAATATAATTTCTACCCATAAGGGCTTTCTACGCATCATAGCTTTTTTGTCTTCATAGTAAGTTGAATCATTCGCAGCAGCCGATGGTGTCTGAAGAAACCAACACATGGATAATAAATGTTCGATTGTCTTCCATAAAATTGTATAACTTATTTTGCAAACTACACACACACACACAGTTGTTGCATAAACAACAAATATACTTCACAGAATGTGAGTCGGTGGTCCAACCGTGGAACGCTCGCCAACCACTCATGTGGTCAGGGGATCGATCCTCAGCCAACGCATCCCTAAGCTTCGCTAAGCTGGCAGTAAAGCCGGTAAGGAGAAAGAGTTGGGCGTGAGGCTAGCAGCCCTACCCCATAAAAATAAAAACCACTACAACCGGGACTTTAAAGCTCTAGTTTGAAGTGTTATACAGTTATATATCTGAGACCCTGAGGAGGATTCTTAGTGAAGCAGGAATTAGAGTAGCATTTAAGCCTACAAAAGCACTCAGAGACAAGCTCTGTAGATTAAAGGACCCAGTTGACCCAATTAGACTAAATAATATAATTTACAAGATATCTTGCAATGACTGAGTTAGGTCAACTACATAGATCAAAGTAGTAGTTCGGGGGAGTCAGATTGTCGGAGCATAAGAATTTAACTAAGGTAAGAATGGCTGACCCCACCCGCAAAGATAAATAATTTAGAAAAACGCTCAGCAATTTCACTACATGTATTAACACACAAGCACACAATAGGGTGGGAGAGTGTTAAAATTCTAAAAAGTAATCAAGGTAGGTGGAGAGAGAAGTTGATTACTGAATTCTTGTTAATCGAGTCTACACCCAACACATGCAATAGGAATGATTCATCACTCATACCCGAAATATGGAAAATACTACTACCAATCAAATCAAGTGAAAATCAAGCGAAAAATAATGGAACTATATAAATGAAGTTAGGAAGTCGTGTGATTATCTTGATATGATTATGAACAGCAATAAATTGTTCTCCAAACGTCATCAGTAAACATTACTGTATAATACTGAGACTTCATCAAGACAAAAATTCACCCATAATGGAATTATACTCTACCACAGTGCACAAGTTTTATTCGTATATTTCTAGCTTGAAGCCCTATGTTCCACTCGAGACGTAAAGGATTAATTAATAATTATGAATAATTTCACAGAAGACTGTGCGTGAATGGCCAATGTATGTAGGGGACCTGATAAGAATACAAGTATTTTATGACTATTCTTTTTGTTGTATTATCTACACTCGCTGTAACCACCATCTAAGCAATTCAGAATTTACGCGTGGAGTTTTAGATAAGAGACAGATTAATCTGGGAATAGATTTTTCAACCATCATCATCATCATCATCGTCTACCCCAATGTACTCATATTAACACAAGGATTGTTCATTAATTAATCCATGAAATCATTGACTTTTGAACCATGAGGAAGTCATGCAGCCATATTCCCTAAGAAAGACAAATATTTCACTTATATAGAATTCTTGAAGCTCACTTCACTCATAATGGAGTTAGTATTGAAGGCGTTGGCAGGAAGGACAATGAAAGCTTTTGCAATTAAACCATCCAGGTTGTAGAACACAACAATACTAAAAATCAATTCATATGAATTGTATAATGAAATACAGTCAGTTGGTTAAAGTACATGTGAAAGCAGAAACTAATAGCCACACACATTATATGATATAACCCAAAATCGATTTTATTGGTAATGAAAATGCACTCATGCTTTATTAGTCTACTTATCACAAAACCTTTTTTCTCTCCTCGATTCTTTTACTTATTATTTGATGTGAAGATAAGAACTCAGATTAGTAGGTAGGTAATCTTAGACCTATAGTACTACTTTTCCTACATATATACATTATCGAATGCATTCATGCGATTTCTAATCACTGAAACTATGATTTATTAGTTGGTCACAGTTAAGAACTGGAGTTTTGATCTAAATGAGTTTGGATTGTCCTTTATTATCGTCATATTTTTCTTTTGCACTATACACGCAACTCACTGCTGATGTGTATCAGCTTAATGAACTATACTTATGATGTGGTGTATATATCAATCGGGTATGGACAGTATTATGTAAATATTGTTCGATATCTTCATTCACACTGCTAGGTTGATAATGTAATCACAATGGCTGAAGCACTAAGGTCTGAAGAATTACTATACTAAGTAATGAATAGTACCGCCTTCCCAATCTGATACGGCTGAGAGTGAGTAGACTTCCATCTTTCTCAAAAAAACTCTCATGTGACTACACGTTCATAGCCCCTGCCAGATAAATCCTATTCACTGTTCCTTACTAAAAGTGAAAGGGAGAATGCGGACTTCTGGCACTTACAATTGGACTGATGGACAAGCTGGACGATTCCTATTCCAAACTTATAATGTGCATGGGCTCCAGAATCCAAAAAGATCAAATGCAGTATGAACCTGCTTTAGTCACCGGCAACCATGCGAACGCAACTCCTAACGTTGCTCCACTGTCTTGTGAATCAGAACTCACGTCAAAGACCTAGAAGGATAACCCCTTAGGACAACCACCTGCTTCAATTTGAGCGTGCGGGTAGTATCCAAGACATCGCACAAACCATAAGGCAACAATTTGTGTGGCGTATCTTCTGGTGCCCATAATATACAAAGTTTCTGTTTTAATAATAATAAATCACAATGGATACCCCTGAAGTATTCATCGCATAATCGATTTCCATCACAATCTAAGGATTGTTCTTTTCCCTTTTTGAGAGAAATGTCAACTGATATTCTCGTAAAATTAACTGATAAGCTTAGGGAGTATTATTAGGCTACTTAAATATATTCAAATGTGTCCAGATCACAAATAAACGTATCTTTGAGCAGCTTAACAACGTGTCATATTGAAATAATAGAGACGATTTGTAGCTAGGTGGATAATTTTAAATTAGTTGTGTTCACTGAGCTGGTTGATTTAATTGCCAAGCTTTGGTCATCCTTCTAGACAAATCTTCTGTATTATTTCAAGATCTTACGAGCGGGATACGCTTTTGTATTGTCGATACTAAAACCTGCCCTGAAGATGTTGTCTAGGATGATGACGAAAGCTTCGCAATTAAATCAACCAGCTCAGAGAAAACAACTAATTCAAAAATGTGCTACATACCGTCAATCACTATACGAATTTATAAAGGGGAAGGGAAGGTTACAACATAATTATATTATATGCTAATAATTAATAATATGTGTATATATATATTTACATGTAACAGTATTTATTTTATCCAAATGATTTATACTTGTAGATAAGGTTTGTAACTGGCGACAATTCCAGTTAATAGTTGGAAAGCCAACTTTTAATGCAATAAGACGATTTGAACTCCATATTTCTACACCGGTTACAGATTTCCTGAAAATCAAAAACAGATGAAATGAAAGTATACACATACTACTGATATACATAAAAACTAATCATGGTGATTTATCAGTTTGAAGATAAGATTGTGCATGTCTTACAAATGTGAAGACAACGGAAAGCAATAATAGCAGTAATAATAACAGCTAACAGTCGAGTGATTTCTGACAAAACGAGCAGTAAAAACGGTGTGGTTATAGAAACACATGTTCAAATCGACATAATAGATAAAGGTTGAAAATTCATGGATTATCCCCATCCAGGCATTAATGAAAACAAAACACGTAGATCAGCGAAGAGTCTCTTTTCGGCAAATTCATTTTCTCTTCGCTGATCTACGTGTTTTGTTTTCATAAAGGTTGAAAACAACACATAACAAGGTTACACAATACCAAGTTGAAAGAGGAGTAGATAAACCGACTTTCAAAGAAGATGCGATCAGACTAAGGAAGAGTTGATAAAAAGATTAAAAAATGTTTAAAAGAGTGTTGATCGTTTAATTAGTTAATTAGGTCTTCAGCTACTTGAAGAGAGATAATGACTGTACAAACTTCTTCTGAATATTTACTTCACGGTTATTAGTTCGAATGACAATGGTCTCATCCATACGCAGTAGGCGAATATGAATATAAAAATTGGACGGGAAGCGATGGATCACAGAGAATGTCTTCGTTTTGCTTTACTAAGTGACTTCTATCAACTAGATAGGAAAAATAGGGTTATGCGAGATTCTTTTCTAACCTTTATCTAACCATGATGGGGGATTTTTTGTAACACACTAGCTGGACTGTACGCTAGTTCACCCAGTTTAACTGTCTCCACATGACCATTTGACTTCATAAACACAAATAGATGTGGCAAAGTTAACTGACTGATCCTTAGTTTGCGTTACAATCATTCGCCTACTAGAGAATGACGAACAAAGTTTGACTGCATAAAAAATTACATCGAAATGGATTTTCTTCAGCTCTGTACAAATATAGATGTCATCAGTTCGAGGCGCCACACTCCCTCCTTGTACCACACAAAGCAAGTTGAGAGAGTAAAGAGGGATTCAAAAGAAAGATAAACAGAAATGTGAGGCAAAAAGAATAGTAGTATGGGAGAAAAATAGATCTTTATTGGATATGACAGATCAGAAAAAGGAAGTACAACTGCGCCGTCACTGAGAACGATTTTCAGCCATATCACCAATCGCCTATCTCCAGCACTCATTGGCTTTTACCATCCCGAAGAACCTAACCAGTCAGCAAGTCTACAACTCCCGATGTGGCTGTCCGGCTCAAAGTAACTGTTGTGGACTTCATTGACTGAAGTCATGTTTTGGTTTGATCACCACTAGCCAGCTCTTTTCTAACCTGATCCATCCTATGCTTGTCGAGAAATGCAGTGGCTAGGCAAGCATGAGTAATAAACGTCCTAACCATCTCAATCAATCTAACTTTACAACCTCGTCAATGGATTTCCCTTCCCACCTACCAAGCACTTGACAGAAGCCTAACCTTAATACTGCTCACATTATTACACCACTTAATAAATGAGATGGAATGCAGATACTTATGATCAAAGACAACTAGCCGGCCTTTTCATGTCTTCCACTTTCAATGACCATGTCTCAGCCAACCATAAAGGAGGACAGAGCAAACTGCTGATGTGCAATATACACGCCCTTTCGTCAATATCCAGCCGGATATAACGACTACGCCAGATATCTATAAACAAAGTGAAACACTCGAAATGCTTACATAGCTGTTGATGCCACTTCATTATATTTATCTATCAGATCATTTGTAATAATTTTTAGTTCTTTTGATAAAAGACTTTCTGCCACAGGATCTGTATAAAGGAGGGAAAAGCAAACAGGAAAAAAGATGTTAGTATGAATTCTAATACGAAGGAAATTTTTGTATCAGCTGTGTCTGAAAACAAACCAGCAGTAGAACAAACACTGAATGATTGAAAACTGATCATAAATACCCAGTAATATATACAGTTATTCGTCGCTTAATAATAAAGCAGGAGTATTACTAATATGATATTAGGGTTACTGACACCAGTTTGTAAGTAGTTTAACGTCTTGACTAGAGGAAAGTGGTAAAGATACAGATACGAGAAATTGATGAAACGGTTATCAATATAGAAGTTGAGGAGAAACGTAGCCGGCAGCAGAACACGAGCACATCTAATATCCGACGTAAGATTCTTATATTTCATCAGTTTTGTATGTAGTTTGACCAGTGAACAATGTCACACCAGTTACCACTATGTTCTTAATCTCAACTGGTTAACTGACAACTATCGACTTTAACCATTTATGAAGAGAAATGTATATTCTTTAAGTTGGAAATCCCAGCCTGTATTCGCGTATTAAAGTGGACGATTATTAGGTATGTGAAAAACTTGCTCCAACTATCATATACAACAGGGACTTAGAATTCTACCAACGCCCTTACAGATTTAACTTTGGATTCTGTGTCTACCTTCTACATTGTTCACACAATGGTTTCACCAGTCGCCAGTGTTACCATGTGAGCAACGGTAAGCAATTTACTTGAAGAGAATTCCGTCTACTTTAAATGTTTATGTTTAGTGGTAATACAGTAGGATAAAAAAAGAGTCGTTGAGTACTGTACACTGGACACTTATCAGGCAAGTGGATATCGTCTTGGCGAAAAAGGAATTAGTGAAATTTAGCAAAAGCCAAACGAACTTTTCATATCTAAGACGAGACCCCATCAGCTCAATAAAGCTAGCTAATTCACTGGAAGACCCATTCTAAAATGATGGACAATCATTTATATATGCAATAAAATACCGTTCATACGACAAGATTACAAAAATTGATTATCTCAGAAAATTGTTACTCATGCCTTTAAAATGAAATCTAATCCAGAAGATAGTAGCAGTACAACATCGTGACCTACATTCTCACACTTATGGGAAAATGCAATAGATAAAAAGAATATAGAAGGATTCTCAAACAGCTTACCCTGTAACATCCAAACACTACGTGCAAATTTCAATTCTTCAAGAACATTAGCAAGACGTTTAATTCCATCTATAATAATAAGTGATGAATAAAAAACGAGGATGTATAAAGTCAAAATTAATCACTAAAATAATTCATTCAAAGACTGACCTAAAAGGAAAGAGTAATAATGGATATTTTATTTTATTATGATAACTTCTAGAATGATTATCAACCTAAATACTACTGCTGTCCGTCTATGGTTTAATGATAGAATATTCGCTCACCACGCACGTAGTCCGAAGTTTGATTTCCGACTGCCGCTCCCCCAATCCTTGCTCAGGTAAGTAGCCGATGGTAAGCCCAGAAGAGGGAAGATTAGGTAAGGTGAGAAACCCCAACCCGTAAAAGCGATGGCACCGCAACTGAGAATTCAAGGCTTAAAGTTTGAAGCCCTATGTTCCACACGGAACTGAAAGGAATGATGGGACTACTACTACTACTAGTCAGGTAACTTTATAAACATTGAATACCAACGTAATTCCAGTTTGAAGTAATCTGTTGGATGGCGAATAACAGTGGGATCGAGGACACACATTTCGTCCCATTGGGGACTCGTCAGTCGGGTGGACTTGCATTTCATCTGAAAATGGAACCCAATACTCATCGTTTCAAACACCAAAGCATTGTTCACTAGACAACTTTTATCATTAGAGCCACCCTCTCGTGTAACGGGTGTCAGTTATTATTTATCTCTACATTGATTTTGATATTCCTATTGGTCGATTGGGCTGAAATATTCAACCTCTGCTGACATGTTGGCTGCTGGTACAGAGGCTTCAACGATGTCTAAGTATTAACTAGGGATAATCTGGCGGGGGGGGGGGGAAATTAAAGTTGAATTAAAAACAAATAATAACTGATGTCCGTTGTACAGCAGTTAGCCCTCGGAGATAACGGTTCGGTAATTGAAACGATAGGTACTGGATTAGACTCTCAGAGGAAACATTATCACTCACTGGGGAATGCAAGTACATCGAATTGGTGAGTCTTGAATAAGACGAAATGTCCATCCTGGATTCCACTGCTAGTCATCATCCCCTAAATTATTATATCAAGTTAATCCTCAGATGTCATCAAAGCTTCAGTGGACTAGCAGCCGACAACGTCAACAGAGTTCGAAATTGAATTAAAAATAATCAGTAATTCCATTTTGTTTTTTAAATATACTACATTGTAGTACAGTATTTTTTTTTGAAGAATGTTTGAAGAACAAATTATTTTTTTCGTTAGGCTCTGCATTTATAAATTGATTCATTTTAGTATACGATAGCCAGTAAAGCCAAATTCCAATTATTATTACCATCAGAAAATCTTATTGTGGTGCGGTAGTAAAAGATAGAATAATAACCAGTTGGTTTGGATTATCATTTAAAATGCATAGTCAATAAGAACACACATCAGATAAATTGGAATTAAATAGTTCAATGATGACTTTGCAGCAACAAAAAACATCAGGTTTTAAAAGGCGAGTACAGTCAGTGGTGTGAGAGACGTTACGAATACTAAATAGAAATACACCACTAGACATAAGTTCAAGAATGCCTAATAATAATAATAATCATAAAATAATGATAATAATAACAACGATGGTGTAGTGTAAACATAAAAGAACTTCCAATAAACTATTATCAGGTAATGAATAATTTAATATAGCGGAATGAGGATTACAAGTTATTTGGTGGAATTCAGGGAGCATATTTTGTCCTTTATGGGACTCGTCATCTGGATGTACCTGCATTTCCCAGTGAGTGATAATGTTCCCTCCGAGGCTCGAACCCAGTGCCCATAGTTTCAAACGCCAAAGCGTTATCCACTGGAATGAGGATTGTCAAAATACAATAATAAATTTGAAATGCATTACGTAAACCTAGGGTGATAGACACATTAAATTATTCGAGTCAACTAATCTGGATTAAGGTAACTTTTTGTGCTCCGATAATCTGACTTATCTTAGTAAAATAAGAAATCTGGAGAATAGTTCAGCTATAGCACTCACTGCATGCAACTATATACAACCATACAATAGGATGGGTGGGATAAGATGATAGCTCTAAAATCTAGTATAACAGGGTGGAGGGAGAGATTGGTAACAGAAGCTTTATTTATCGAATCAACTGAAGAGAATATGTGTAATGGGAATGATTCAACACCTGTCCCACCCGGACATCTGGACAATTCTACTACCCCTATGACGACGGATAGGAAAGAATAAAGAAAACTATAAAACTCAAGTTTCGAAGTTGTGTAATTATAATTGATATGATTATGAACAGTAATAAATTGTGTTCGTATCTTCCTTATCCAGTAAGTAGTGTTGTTTCACTGTCTGATATATCTAATAAACAAATTACTATGGAAGTTTATCATGCCATTTTTCGTTATTCTTGTTATCACACATCGCCTCATTATTTCATTCTTATGGTTGATAGAACCGTTATTATTATCATTACTATTATTATGAATAGTCGTACAATGTATATGGACAATCTTATTATCCAATTGACAAAACACCGCGATTGGTTTTTTATTTGAATTTTTGTTTGTATAGTTATGTACATTAGAGTTAAGCCTGATGAGATCTAATTGATAACAATATTGTTCGCTTAAATATGTTGTCCTAAATAGTAAGATAGGTTTTAAAAAGTCTGGAATGAAAGTTTGTCAATGAAACAAAGGTAGATAGGAAAAAATTAGGACATGTATTAATAATTCAGTTGGTGGATGGTGACTAGCAGTCCTATTCGGGACTCGTCATCTGGATGTACCTGCATGCCAACCTGAGACCGAGCACTTCGATCCAATCAATCGACGGGTAAAAATCTAAGCTTCAATTAAGATATTAATAATGTTAATTATCAATGTTTATGGAGGATTTGTTGACCTTGTTGTAGTCGAAGGTAAACAAAGCAACTGGATACAAAGACTAGGTCTTTTGTTATTGATTATTATCGTCTCAACTACTTATAGGAGATGTAGTAGAGTCCCTTTAGATAGACTACTGAGGACAAGATAAATCACCGAAAACGCCTTCTCCAGTTAAATTGAATGTCCACTATGTGATGTAATTCTAATTTGCTTATATCGGCTGTCGTACGATAAAAAAATTTCTTCTAAACATATCACGGATTTGAATTCAGAATATTTAGAGTTATCTTTCAGTGTGAATTATGTAAAGTAAATTACGTTTGGAAGAACATTTAGTAAATAGTCTAGTTTCTCGGTTGGTCGCGACAGACAGTGGAGTGTAAGGCACGCGTTTCGTCTTATATGAGACTCGACATCTGGATGTACTTGCATTCCCTAATAAGTGATAGTCTTCCCACTGAGACTCGGTTGTAGTCAGTCAACAGGAATTCCAAATTCACTCTAACAAACGGCTAGTTTGATGGATGGTGACTAGCAGTGGAATCCAGGATGCACATTTTGTCCTATTAGGGACGCGTCAACTGAATGTACCTGCATTTCCCAGTGAGTGAAAGTGCTTCCACCGAGACTCGAACCCAGTGCCAACTGTTTTAAACGCCATACTGTTATCCATTAGACCACTTTTGTCACAAGAGCCAACTTTTGTGCAGCCGGTATGAGTTATTATTTGTCTTTATTTGAAATTCTATTTACCCGTTGATTGATTAGATCGAAACAAAAGAAATAGCTCGTCTCACTACCTTCCAAGTTCTAGTTAACTGTATGCAGATAAATTTTTTATTATACTTTAAATATACTCGACTTGGTTCTGGTAGAATTATTTTTGTGAAATATTTAGTTTGTTTATTAGATGTATCACACAGTGAAACACTAATATTTACTGGATGACAAGGTTTCGAACAAAATTTATTGTTCATAATCATATCAATTGTAATCACACGACTTTGAAACTTGAGTTTTATACTTTTCTTTGTCTTCTCTTATTTGTTGTAGGGGTAGTAAAATTTTCCAGATATCTGGGACAGGTGTTGAATCATTCCTATTACATGTATATACAGTTGATTCGATCAATCTATCCCGATACCCTGTGACATTAGATTTTAAAACTGTCATCCTATCCCATCCTATTGTATGGTTGTGTGTAACTGCATGTAGTGCTATAGCTGAAATATTCTCTAGATTTTTTATCTTATTTGGGTCAACCAATCTAGATTTCGCCAGGTTTTTATGTTCGGCTAGTCTGACTGCCCCTGTTCTACTAGTTTGGCCTATGGATTTGACCTGACAACCATCCCAGAGACATCCGGAGAATTCTACTACCCCTACGACGACAAATAGGAAAGAATAAAGAAAACTATAAAACTCAAGTTTCAAAGTCGTGTGATTACAATTGATATGATTATGAACAATAAATTTTGTTCGAAACGTCATTCAGTAAATATTAATGTTCACTGTGTGATATATCTAATAAACAAACTAGTATGGAATTAAGAGCCCACAACTCTATACAATATTACACTCATAACTTTAAAGTTTTACAGTGAATAATGTACAGTCAAGAGTTGGTAGACTTTAGCCTGTCATGTGGTCACGCGTCAGTAGTCATTGCCAGGTAAGTCTTATTCACTGTCTTCAAAGGGCGAGGGTGTTCCTCACAAAAAGTGAAACGGTAAATCCAAACGTCTAGTACTTACAATTTAACTGGTGGACACCGAAGTCTACCTAGGACAACTGGGAAATATTGACTTCAAATTTATGATGTACACGGGCTCCAGACTCGGGACGGATCGAATAGTGTACGAACCTGTTTTAGCCACCAGAAACTATAGGAACGCAACTCCTGACGCTGCCCAACTTTCGTGTGAATCAGACTTCAAGTCAAAGGCTCGGGGGTGCCCCATCAGACAACCACATGCTTCAGTTTGGGTGTCCGGGTAGTGTCTCGGCCCTCGCACAAACTGTGAGATTTTGTTTGGTTTTTAATATAAACAATAAAACCGTGACGAGTTATGACGATAATATACACTTTCTACTATCTGTTCATTTTGTTGTGTAGTTGAAAGATTATGTCATATTATAAGTCAATTCATTTTTAGCCACTTGACTCATTGTCAACATTTTGTACAAAAAATCAATTTTATGTTTTAAAAATACTCCTTCTTGACACAAGTGGTGGAAAGAATTATTTATTTCAGGTTAATGAATGCACTGAAGAATAAATGACTTATCTTTCACTTATAAGTATTGAAATATCAGTCAAATAGTAATCGGTATTTAGAACGGTCATGAAAAGGATTTAACCACACATAGGCCTAACAAACGTGTAGAATTACAATAAGCGACTTTATTTAGAAACATTGAATTAAGGATTAGACATTATATTGTCCAATGTACAACTAGATCAATTACAATTGTTTATGGAGCAGGGATGGTTGAACAATGGACATACTCTTCCCATAATCGAATGAGTCCTAGAAGAGGAAATACAATGTGCGTATTGTTGAACCATCTCTATCTAGAGCAAAACAGTTTCTGGGTTTTCAGGGGTCCTTTAAAAAATCTTGTTACCTAATAAAATATGCACTGAAGTCAGTCGAATTGGAATTTGATTGATAACGAACTGGTTGAAGTTAGAGAACCATTGAAAACCAAGGAGTATTTAACAGCTGTTTCACCCTAGTCTGGGATTCTTCAGCAGCATATGCCCATGACCCCAACGATAAGAATCGAGCCTAAGACCTTTAGATTAAAGGATGAGGCTGATGACCATCCGGCCACTTGGACGGAACTCAGTTGCCCATTAATTCTAGCTTCTAAGAGTTGGCGATATATAGTGCGACTGTCAACCAATGTCATTAGCGGGTACCTGTCCTCACAGTCAACTTGGTGGACTCCGCTGGCCACGATTTCGCACTAATACTTCAAGCATCTGCATCTAGTAATCAGTCATGAATGAGCACAAGATTAAATTCAAGTGTTGTTTTGCAGTGATCTGGTAGATTTTCAGTTTGATCACGAACTGGCTAGAGTTAAAAAAACCCTGAAAACCAAGAAAGAGTACCGGACAGCTGTCTCTCTTTTTTAAGTGCTTCTCTAACTGGAGTCGTCAGTTCGTGAATTTCAAAATGTTATTTTATCACCTATAACCAGTGAGATGATAAAATAAAGTTCATATGATGCGAAAATGATTTTCTCTAAATGTCATTACAAAAGTAAGACATTAATGACATGAACAATAGAAGGCAAACTAGTGTGAGTTATATACACTTATTTATATGCTGCGCTATGCATTAAATCTACTGTAATAGTTGATACAAAAAAAACTATCTCATTATTACAATCCTGATTAGAGGAATTAGATCCATTTCTATCTGCCTTCAGATAAAGACGAAAGAACATCATTCGAAAACTACTCCAATACTGTTACAAAGAAAAGAACATATGATGTTATAATGAAACTAAAGCGAAGCCTTAAGTCCGTTACTAAAGAAACCGTCTTTCCTACTTGTCCAGAAAATTACGTGTTCTATTTGTCTATTAGTTGGATGGAATATATATATATATATATATATATCGTTCGTTTGAGTTGCGATTGGAACATAGAGCCTAACCTTTCCTCTTCTCTAGGCTTACTGCCGGCTAGAAAACTAGATGGTGTTGAAGAGTGAATTAGTGTCGTACATTAGTCATACTGAGGTTAGGTGTAGTGTTAAATTAGGAGGGGAAGTTGTTTGGTGAGGTTGTGAAACTGCATCGGTTGAGATGGGTAGGACATGTTATACGTGTGTCAAGCCATTTCTCACCTCTTCAAGTAATTTTTACTTACATAGGATTAAGTTGTGATGAGTTACAGATGGTCAAACTTAAAAATGGCATCAATTCATGAAATCTCCGACTATGGAGGTTGGATCAAGGATGGAGGTACAGACTGACATTTCCTGGCTAGGCTGCTTAAGATACTAAAAACCAGTGAAAAGTAACTATGAATGACATCGCTAAAATCATTTTTAATGCCACAGAGCCAATAAATTCGCATTACTCTTTATGAAATTATTCTATCTGCAGCATTTCTCTATTTACTACTTACACTGATATTTTCGAATAAAGCAAGAACAACAGTTTTTGCAGAATAAAATGGTACCATCATATATTTCGCTGGCTTCTTATCAGCTGCTTACGGCTGCGGGAGAAGTTACATTGGAAGAACAGAAGATTTTCTGAGCATGTACCAAAAAGCCTATGTTTCAAGGGAACAAATGCTTTCAACAGGGTCCATCGCCAAACATCTCTTTGACACGGGTTGTGAGATGGACGTCGCAAGACGGTTCAAAAGAGCTCAATTCTTCTTAAGTTTGCCAAATCAATCTCCATCAACAGCCTGAAACCCGATTTATGCGTACAGAAAGAAGCGGTAATCAGTCTTTCCTTGCCCTGAAGTAACTGGATGTTTTCATCCTTTCTTTCATCTGATTACGTAACATATATTATGTATGATTATTATTGTTTGGGATAAAGTGGTTATCATCATTTTTAGCATTGTATGGATATACTGATTAATTGATTTTTGTTTAAAAATGAACTCTGCGCAATTAAGTTAAAATTGTTCCTGTAGATATACTTTGACCTGTAAGCAGCTGATGAGAAGCCAACGAAATGAACAATGATGGTACCATTTTATTCTACAAAAAATGTTGTTCTTGCTTTACTCAGACTCATAAAAGGGAATAAATATATGAAGCTACTGATTTTTTCCCTCTACCTTTATATGTGCTACATGAAGTATGTAACAACTTGTAACAGTGTGTTTTTGAAAATATGATTAAGTTCAGTTGAGATTTCTAATTACTATCTAAATGATATCATAAGGTAGCCGAAACCATATGACTAAATACCTCCTTCTTGAAAAAAAATACTTACTCATATAGTCTAAAAGTCCATTTTCTGATTGATTATAACGTTGTATTGTTTTCTGTAGATTTAAAAAAGAAAACGACAAAAAGAATAAAGCAAACAAAGGTCAATATATTGAACAATACATAATTCCATATAATATAACAGTACTGATAATAATAATAAGTAGTAGAATAGTAATAGCTTTATTCTATACAATGATTATTGAATGTACAGAATTTTCAGAAGAGTTTATAGCATGATATTTTCTTTTCGTACAGAATCTTCAAATAAAATATTAATTGTATAGTAGATGCTATGAATCAGTTCTATCTAACATGAAGCGCAAACCAATCCATCATTATGCTATCTCTTCTCTGTCTCCTTCAAGAAATTTTGCAGCATTTAGTCGAATACCGACTATAAAAATTTCAGTAGTACATTTTGTGAACCAAAGACACAACTCAAGAACAGGTATCTCATGTATTAGGATAAGCTGCCATCCATCAAAGAGAATGCTTTTTCACCTCATGTTTAGTAGAAACTTGCACCATACTTATTATGTAATAGAACTTGGCTTTAAAATTTTAACTACGTATACAGAAGTTTGGATATATGCTCTACTGGTAAAAATTCATCTGCCTAAACTAATGAACTACAAAAAACATTAGATAACAATATTTAAGTGGTTGGTTTGTAGGGATTTGATTGGTTACAGGATTTCATTACAAGCTGACATTGGTTAGAGAACTATTGGAAGACCAACTGGGAGTACTGGACAGCAATTTCGTCCTAGTTCGGGACTCTTCACCAGTAAGCACCCACCAACGGGGTTCGAACCCACGACCTTCTGCATACAAGGCAAGCTCGAAAAATATTTAACAAATTTTTATCTACAAATATAACGTTTGGGAACATAAAAAATATATAATACACTTACTGTACCCAGAGAAATTACTAAGTGTGTAGGTGTAGAGACATGATTCGCCTTATTACTTTTTACATTTGGTTCTGTTACATAAGACAGATTCGCTGAACCGATCCATGATTTAAACAGATCTAATGTATCCTCTGTAATCTCCTCATGATAGAAAAAGCGCTAAAATAGAAATAGAAATAATACAGTGAAGAATAAATTGAAAAGATTCGAATACGATAACGAATTAGTGTAAGATAACAAAGTAGTTCTGACTATACAGTTTAGCTGCAAATACCCCAATTAAAGTATCATAGTTGCTTACTGGATAACGGTTTCGATTTGCAAATTATAGGTCATGTATGTGTATCCCTCTCTTCAATTACTGTCACTTGAGAAGTCTGGTAGTATTACTAGTCTTCAGTACTAAGGATGCAGTTTACTGCTGCATTAACATACAAATGGTTTTAGGACATTTCATTCTATCTCAAGTCACGGTAGAAATCTATAGCGAAATACTTCAAAACATCCTTACCTACTTAGAAACTTGTAAAATAATAGTTGTAGAAAAGACTGAACTATTCATACAAGTTAAAAGTCAATATGAAGAGAAATGACTAGAATACAAAACATTTGCGTATATCGTCTTCACATAATAATACACAGTGAATTGAATTTCGTGCAGATTAGAGCACCTAAAAATGGGTTTTCAATAGATAACTTGCGAAACTTAGCGAAAACACACATAAAGAATCTGTATAGAAATTAAAGCACATAAGACCTGAGAAGGTGGAATACAAGAAACAGATAAAGTGGAGAAAATTGATATGTCTTAATTGATCAAAGGTGTCGTTGCTCTAGGAACTTGATTTTTCGGGCTCAGGAACATCTGCTTTTGTGGTTAAAGAAAGATGTAGTGAGAAACATCAATAGTGCGATATTAGAGCACCTGGTCCAAAACGACCACAAAGCTAATATTGAGGAGTTCTTCTCCATCATCTATCGGGTACCAAACAAATTGACGAAAACATCCAGACACCGCATACTTCAAACGGAGGAGGTTATCGCGATTCTCCTGAAACAACCGGTGCTCTGTGTGCAGAAGAAGCAAGTCCAGTCACTCCTACTACCCTGGCCAGCATTCAGTAGAGACTGTAAATTCGTGAATTTGTATTATTATTTTTCCTTATTTTCCTGATATTCAATGTATTGTTATGTTGATGCTATCAAACTGTGATCCATTGATATTATTATTGATTCGATGTTATTTAAACATTTATGTTGTTAATAACACTAATAATTCATTCACTATTATGTATAAATAACCGTATAACCTGATGATGAAGTTATCGAAAAGAATATTCTTTGTTCAGTAATCAATCTGTTAAAATTAGAACAGGCAAGATTTTGAGGAAAAGAATTGCCTAACAGCACAGAGCTTGATCAGACTTATTTAACGAAGTAATTCTATCCGGAGAAACTGGATGAGGAATTTGTAACTTGAGCACTGTAGTTTCACTTAAATTAGTTAAAGTATGATTAAGTATAGATAAATTTCCGATTCGATATAAGTAGGCGAATGAAGCTTCTTATTAACGTTTTCAAAAATATATAAAGACTCTTGGGTTTTAAATCGTATGGCATGAACCTTCCATAGTCTTCTGAAAGTATGGAAAACACTGCACACTAAATGAATACAAAACAAGACTCATTGACAAGCATTTGCTTCCTTAAAGTAAATAAATAATGTTAACAGTTGTGAGCACGTACATCAGCGCCTATCGATCAAAAGCTATCACCTTGATGTAGTTGTCACTTTCACATAACCCAAACATCAAATAAACTGTGTTGGCTCAGATAAATATTCCTGTAAGTCATACAATCCTAGAAAGATATGTTAGATGTTTAGGTTGGGAGAAATTACCATTATAATGCAAAGAAGATTGAGATAACAACTGATATCTTTTATTAATCTTCACTTTTGCACCCACTGACTGAAGTTCAGACGGAATACTGGATGAGTTTTGCAAGAAACTGTCAAGTTTACTTTTGGAAGTGGAATGCACAGATATGGTCATTTTAGTAGGTGATTTTAATGCCAGTTGACGTTAGGCGTAGAGTGTTGGGCAAAGAGGGAAAATCAATCGGCGAGGCTATAAAGTTACGTAGATTGAGATGGCTAGGTCACTTGCTGCGCATGCCTAACCATCGCCTCCCCCGACGGGAATTACTAGCTGATATAGGTGAAGGTTGGAAAAGAGCCAGTGGTGGCCAAACAAAAACATGGCCTCATCAATCCATGAAATCCTTGACAGTTAAACTGAGTCAGGTAGGAAGATGCAGACTTCCGGGTTGGGGCCCTCGGGACTCTAGGAATCAATGGCTGGAGACAATAGGTGACATGGCTCAAAATCGTTGTCAATGGCCAGCGCAGATGTATTCAGTCTCTGTAATCTTTCATATTCCTTTCTACCATTACCCATTCTGTTTCACTCTTATACTTATCAAACTCTATTGATTCTCTTCACTCATCTTCTTGTCCACCTTTGTGTGCTATTTGGAACGTGGCCACTCGAACTGGTGCACTTCGGTGCCAAGTTCTATGTTGAATCCAGACAGAGAGACAGACAGTAAGAAAAACATAATGGGGAATTTAAGGGGTCACGCAGAAATTATGAATTATTGATCAGATTAAATTAGGTACTAGCTATTGTACGGGAATACGGGCTGCCGTTAAAATGTCTCAGTTCACAAGGAGTGGTAATCACAAGGGGAACAACAAGGTCAACATAGTATCTTAGATTCTAGGTTTCATAATTCGGCGAATAGTTGAAGTTAGTGAGAAACAAATCTGAGAAAACTAGGCGAGATTGCATTGTTCATATCTTCACACGTTGACGGGTTCTAGAACACAGAAATACTCACTGACATTCAACTGTTGCCGTGTTTTGCTGCATGACAGGTATGTATCGAATATTAATGTAAGTGGGTGAGCTTGAATATATTGACCACTATGCTCGTATGACGGGTTGCATTGGTTCAAATAGAATGATTGCCGGCAAAATTTCAGCACGTGCATGAAGAGTACATCTGACACTCACCAACTTGCGTCATCTTTGGTGTCTGCATGAACCCCCCCTTTCTATTCGCCAAACGACGTGTGTGCTATGCAGCAGTTCGCTCCATATTACCTCATGGTTGACATAACCATTTAAAATGTGAGATGAGAAAGAACCGGTAGCTTTTGCTAATAAGTGTCTTCGTTCAATACTTCGTGCCAGGCTGACTAGGTAAAGAGAGAAAGTACATCTCTGAGGTTGTGAAGCTTTATAAATTTAGATATCTAAGACATGTAATACACACACTAAGCTACAGACTTGCTTCACAAACAATTCTATGTGAAATCTGATTGAGTAGAAAAAGTTACAAGTAGTCGGAAATACAGTCAATCCATGAAATGATTATCTGTTGGTTTGAGTCAAGTATGACCATTTAATTTATTTTGCCGAATTCCTCAGGATGATAAGATCCAATGGTCACATATTGTTGACAACAAAGCTTAGAGTGGTTCACAACGGCGTAGATGTTTTCAATCGTAGTTATCTTCCAGATTCCGAAGATCACAAATAATTTTCATTTAATTAATCTCCCACTCTCGGATACCTCTTTCCAGTGTAACTGCATAACATTTTCTTTTCTACTTTTATCTCTGATTTCTCGAAGTGTGGCAACATAAAAGAGGTGCTGTATAATGAAGTTCATATTGGAAAGTCAGCTAGTTTCAATTAATTAGAATGCGTAAGAAATATTACATATGACTGCATATCAAATAAGAATACTTTTTTTAGTTGCACCTTTTATGTTAACTCGACGTATTACATAATCCATTTACTCTTCTGAACACAGGAAATCATCCATAATAATCGCCGTCTACAGTCACAGGACGTTCGAAAATAATCCATTCACCAGGTTTGAATCTCACATATTTTTATTTTAATACTTGATAAAGAGAAGGCACTTGGTTGAACAGATGAAAGCTTCTTCAATAGACTACTTGCCGCCTATATAATTATTCATTTTTTACGCTTCGAGTGCTCTATAGTTGTTGTTTACGTGTTTTTGAAAAATGAAACTACCAGGTAACAGATGTTTCAGCACTTAAATCCTTATTTGGAACCAAAGGCAAAGACACTCGAGTTCGAGATTCCAAAGTCTGTAAACATACAACATGTATAAAACAAACTCAGAGATTATCAACTCAAGAACTACACGAGCAAGACCGAGAAGGGAAATGTCTTCATAATGCTTACCAAATCAACTTCTCCACTAACATATTGAACATTCTCGGTGGTGCCAGTTTCCGATGTAATATTTTCTCTGGAAGTTTCATCGTTAATGTGGTAAGCAAAGGCTTTAAAAAGCTTCTTTAGTCTTGAGTCTCCAACAAAATACAACCGAACTACATCGGCCCACGGTGCGAGTCGCTTGAAGCACTTGCGGCTATCTCTAGAGCGCAATATAAGGCAAAAATGAGCACTTACCTCGACAAATAAGTATGTATCATACAACTATATGGTCGAAATTCTCCACTAGGTCCTGACCTGCCATCACTGAGTAAAGATTTGCATAGATTACCACCTGATATTAACATAAGAATAAGACTGATACCTGATTTCGTCATTAAAAATCCATGATAGATGGATACTATGATCATCAGGAGAAAAGATGTCCTTTTCGCATTTTTAAAATTTATGACCTCCTTAATAGCAGAAGCGGCCCGAGCTGGTGACATCAATTCGATGAGTTAAACATGAATAAATGCAGAAATATGATACCAAAATTAAGCACCTTAGAGTACTACGCAGGGACCTGAAAAAGATTGAGTAGAAGCAGTTATAACATGTGCGTGAATATAACAAGAAAAACATATTTTGGTTTCAAGAAGACGAAACATAGACCACATTTAACATTGCTGCCAGAAATTTCCTAGTCCATTTCGCGATTAAATATCAACATGCAATCTTCGAAATACTAATCAACCTGGGTAATACCTGAAATAAACTGCAGCTCAAGGTCAAACTGTTTTCAAAACAACTGCATAAGATCGGCCTTGAACAATATCTGGTTTCAAGAATGAGATTCTTTCAGTATTCTAAATTGAGATTGAGGGCTCATTGTCTGTATGGATAGCTTATTAATATTGATATCAATGGCTACAGAGAATCGCAACGCTTCGTCAAAAAACTATGCTAATCTTTGGACAATAAGTTATTTTCTCAACAAGCACTGATGTCTTCCCTAATTATTTCTTCCAAAGTGGTAATTAAGGCACTAGTCAGACTAAGAAGTCTGCATTTTGAATGATAGTACCCGCTTTCTTCATTGGGGAAGGGAGCTCCTGTCACGTTCCCTTAGTAAAGCAGTAACACTGCTTGTTAGAAAGGGAACATGTATATAATGATTAACTGATTCAATGTGGTGACTCCCAGTCATTTCAGAAGCGTTAGGTGAAGTTTATGATATCTCTATGATTTCCATGAATCTAGTTTGCTTGAAGATTGTTATACAGCGTTATAGTGAATAGTGACAGAACGTATGTGGTTTGCTTTGTGCGCGACTATTGCCATTGTTGCATGTGGCGCAATTCCGGTGTGAAACCTTTGGTGTGGTGGGTGAGGATATAGGCTATAATCAGGTGTTCCCGTGTAATTTTATGGGTTACCGCGCTCACGGCTACCGGCTATTTTTTGGGAAATAGATTATATTTGACTAGTTTTAGACTTCTGTATGCAGAAGGCAGTATTTTTCTGTATTTTGTTTGTAGTAAAGCGTAAAATTGTATATAATAGCTCGGACGAATTATTAATAAAAAAGTCATCCTTTCTAAGAAATTTCGCATAGAAAGACTATTATTTGCATTATAGTGCGTTGAGGGTTTGTTTTTTGCGAGTTGTTTCAGATCTTAAGGTTATAAATAGACTACAGGCAATGGCTGTTATCATTACAGTGAATCTATGAGAATCGGGCATATGAAAGAGAAATAGCCTGCAGACATAGGTTAGATGTGTGTTTTGAGGATGTTAAACACTTCTGTTATCATCGGTGATGACTGAAATATTCCATAACACATCGACGACATCATGCGATGAATGAGACAGGCTGCTGAATTTCCTGGTGATTATATCTATTTTGATGAAGTTCCTGGTTAAAACTGCTTAGGCGAAGATGTGATAATAGTTTAATTTACATTTGCACATTGAATTTCAGAAGGTCTTAATTACTCAGTGCATAAAATGGCATCAGACTATATTGACATCAGTGTTCATCGCGTCCCGAAGAAGAGTATAAATAGTCCTTCTCAAATGTCAGAGTACTTAAAATGAGTATCAGCTTTCTGTCGATTAGTAGCTAGCAGCTATGCCAAACCATCCATGGTACCCCACAGGCCCTACAGAAATTCGTGAGAGATCTTACATGTCACGTTGTCTTACGAATTGTAAGCTTGCAGATCTTTCAATTTACCTGTCACTGAAATATCACTTATCTACTTCACGATGGTCTTTTTATTTGTGCACTATTACACTGCATTTTATCTTGACTGGATATGCCTTTATTAAAGCTGAGACTTACTCTTTGTGCCTATTAGTTGCTTGCTTACAGTCTGGTTGCTTTTATTAGAAACACAACAGCACCAGTGTTTGAACATAGCTGTATTTTCATGAAAAACGTCATATTTTCCATGCTTACACCGATATGGTTGGCATTTAACATTGCAAATGTATACTAACATTCCAAAGGCATAGCACTTAGCCAAATGCACAGTGTTGATTGTGAAGGGTTTACATTTTAACTCTTACCATAACCTGTTCTAATTACTCGTACAATAGTTGAACGACTTAAACTTTTGAAAAAGTACTAATTTATGATACTTCACGATTACAGTTTATAACATAACTTATTGCGCCTGTAGAAATGACATGCATTCTTTGTAAACATTCGTTTATACGGCATATGAAATTATTATTATTTGCTTGCTGCTATCCTTTAGAAGATGAACAATATGTGTGACAGTAAAAACCACAGAAGAATGCTGTCATGAACGAAGAATGAGAAAGGAGAATGAACCATTTTCAGCAAAGGTAGGCAAATATAAAGCGTTTAACTTTAATATTACTTCTTTCTTACTTCAGCGATTTAAAAAACACTTTGTTTACTTATTTGCAGATATCCGGTAACGTCAGTCAACCCGGTCACAGCGATTCGACATTGCCCAAATTATTACGACAAACAACTGCGTAAAGACATTTGCTTTTTATTATTTTTCATTAAATATATTTAACATCATGCTTACCAGACCTTTCTTATTCTATCTGAGTGTAGCTATATTTGTCATGATGACTAGATGCAGGCATGACTTATCAATGAGACCTGACAAAGTAATTGGTGGCATATTTTAGTGTAATGTAAATCTGACTACGATTGCTACAGCTCAACCTATTCACTTCACCTTACACTATAAGTTAACACCCATAATCATATGAATCGACACCACGCTTTAAGTGAAATAATGGTAATGCACTACTTTTGAATACACTTTACCTTATAAGAAATCGACTCAATTACAGTGCCTAAGTTCATTTCTTATTTTTCAAATACTGAAGTATTTTTGTACTTGGTCCCTACAGACTTACCTATGACTAGGAGACGTAATCGCGTAACTTTAGGCAGATTTTTAGGCTTGACTAAAGTACTTATAATTCACTACTTATATCGATCGATAGTGTTGCTACAGAATTACACCTATATACAGTAACGAGTTCATATCCTAGGAAGTACCGGTCTAGCATGCCGTACTCCCACCGCATGCAGAACAAATAGAACACAAGAATATTAGATAGAAAATTTTATTTTACTGCAACGCAAACAAGTTTATTTACATGTATTATCTGAGCACAGTCAAAGATGAAAGTCTTCGTTTGGAAAGTATCTCCCATTATTCGACGGAAACTGCCCAGTGTCCGAATTGCGTCACGTTTGAATTCTTCCAAAATTCAAGTAAACAGAACTCTATGCCCACATCCAAATCTATCCGGTATCACAAACTGTAAAAAAGAATATCTGCATGGTTATACATGAATGAGTGAACTTACCTCCACTTGTTGTTGTATGCAGAATCAATTTCTAAAACTGATTATGCAAATGTATCCGATTATAAGTCGTAAAACGCTCATCACTGTTTTTCGGATGCCTTTGTCCGAATGCAGCTACATCTGCTTTCACTGAATTTAATTAACTGACAGACCTCATTGCGACCCATCATTCCTAAAAGTGATACAGACTAAATTCACTTACATAAATTAAGCATTTACATAATTAACATGCATGACCACATTTGAGTTAAGTATAAGTTAAGTTTAGTCTTCCTAATTTACACTTTTTGAAATGTGGAGCACGTTAATGGTGCAGAAAATATCATGAACATTACGCATACATAATATTATTAACTGCCAGTAATTGTGCCATCGAATCATACTACAAGAATATATTTGATAATACTTTGTTAGTGGTCTGAGGGACAAAAATATTATAGCGAAACATACAGGCTAGATGAAAGTCCCACAAAGCTGTCTCACTAAAATACAATGTCTCACTCGTGGATTTCCTCTCCGCATGTGAACGTATCCACATACTGGTATGCGGAAAAGTTCGTCACTGTTAGCAATATATAAGGTTCACGCCTTTTGAAAGTCTTCTAATGCGTTTGTAGCTTCTTACATATGTGCTGCTTGCGCTCACACTGATTACCTGCGATAAAATTCTAGAAGAAGGGCTCGTTAACGAAGCACATTATTGCCACAGCTTGTCACAGTTAAGTCGCAAGATACACAGGATACCAGACTGTGTGAGTGAGAAATCACGAAGTAGGAAATACTGTACCTATAACCACAACTCAAGAAATGCACTGGCACCCACGGGATGGTGGTCACTGATAGAAACCATAATGCCTGACCAGTTTCGAGGGAGTTTATAACGAAAAGAGAAGTGTATCTGTATAAAAAACAGTGAAACAATGTTAAAATAGTCAAACATTACATCTATGTTTGTCAAAGTTGCTTGCAAACGACGCATAACACAACCACACAAAACCTCACACGGTACGACCTACCAAGGACAAATCAAATATCCAACTGACCGCCACCGTTCTAGCCAATGAAAGACGAAAAAACCTGAGTCGCGGAAAATATAACATGTCATAACGTATATCCTCACCCGGTGTAGTGATGTGACATTAACTCTGCTTCGTTCTTGGCCGCTACAACGTAGTTTAAACGTTCCTTTTTAATTTTGTCAAAGAGAGGAATTGTAATTCTACTCCTAATGACACTGTTCTTCAACCTCTTGCAATCAGCTTCAACCTCCTTCAATTTTTGTTGAGCATTATCCATTCACTTCAGTTGTGCTGCATCACCCAGTGTACACGTTCACTTTCACCTTAACTTTTTATTCACCTCATGATTTCTGCCCTACATAGCTGTGGTTTAAAACCCACAATTTTAATTACAAACGTTTGGAAGCATTCCTTTAGATGACTGACGATATTACTGCATAGAAATAATGTAGCTGAAAAGAGTGACTCACTTCGGGAATTACATTAGACGTCTTGTTTCTGAAGTGCAGAAATAACTTCGCAAAGTTGTACATTGCGTTTTGAGGCAAATGCACCTTGAACTTCACTCATAATTGACGAGCTCATGTGAAAGGTTAGCTCTCCCATCTCCGCATCTTCTGTAGTCTGAGGGTAATTAATTTTAATAATTAATAATATTAACAGCCTTATTTAACGTATTCCAGCATCAAACTAGTAGAACACAAACCCCTGGGCTTATCTCTGAATACAATGTTTTGAATCTCTGGGAATAGTTCATGAGACGCATGGTTGAGCTGTGCGGGCATATAGTTGCTCTGTCTGGTTCCTAAAAGTTCTTAAATGAACGCCCAAATTTGTAACAGATTCCACCCATATGGTTACGTGAATGGTAGGATATTAAGAGTCTGGCATTTGGCCTTCTTTTGAATCCTTCATAGGATGTATGAATTCTCTTCAAAACA